GACAAGTGGCTAATGAGGAGGGATGAGAAGAAGCTGTGTAGCTGAGTAGCATGAGAAATAAAGTGCTAAACTAGTGACCCAGACATATGGTGGGGGATGAAAAGGCTTGGGACAACATGGTCTTTAAGATCCATTCCAATCACATAACATTCTGTGATTGTATGATTCTGTAATTCTATGATTCTGTGCTGTGCTTCACTGGAATTGATCTGGTTCTTGATTTCAGTCAAGAACCATATTTCCATTTTTTGAAAGCTCTAGTTTTCACTTGCCCTAAGTAAGTTGGTGGCTTACTGACATTATCCTTCAGAGACAGAGGTTCCCCTGAAGCGCCTGCAGGGAAAATGCATATGTGCTCCTCCCAATTCAGATGCTGGTGCATCCAAGAGGAAGGATTTTTAAATCAACACAATGCGATTCAATGAAAATCTCCTCAACTTGTTACTTGATATGCATTTCATGGAAAGCATTTCATTTTTTATGTGAGCAACAGTAACAACAGACTCTAGTAAATTACTTGACTCGTATTGGCTAATGAAAATGATTGCACAACTGTCAAAGAACTGGGACTTGGACCTGCCCATTCTCTTATGCATTTCAAATACCAATGTTACTGGTAAACAAGTACACACTACAGAAATAATCTAGTCTGCTAAGATGCTATAATTATTATTTGTAGATAAAAACATCTCGTGTTCCAGGACACTGACACTCTACAACAATTTAAATTTCTGGGAAATATGCAAAATTACTCTTACCCTGCTTCCTAGGCTAGGAAAAAATTAGTCAAATTTCTTTTGCAACATGTAAAACTAGTGAAAAAATTATTTTTCCCTTCGATAATTAAGGGCAAGATGGACTCTTTATCATTGCTAGGTCAATAATACATCTACTATGTCATTAGCAAAAAGCATTTTTGTCCATTTTCTGCATTATCTGTGTTACTGAATGATGACAAACCCCTTCTGCTCCTTTTGGAGAGCTGACTATTGTAAAGGGCTGAATAAAGGCCAGTTTTGTTCACACCTTCCACTCCATGCAAAAGTAGTGTTAAATACCTGAGAATTTCCAGCAGATGGCCAACAAGTTGATTAGTGTCCTAGATGATTAGGTGGCACATGACATACAAGAAAAAACAAAAGACTTGCTATTCTTTGGCTTGGAGAGAAGAAAGCTAAGGGCAGGTGGGTCTAGGGGAGGTGTAATTCCAACCCTTCACAACCAAAAAAGGCAGCTGTAGGGAAATAGAGACAGTGCATGCCATAATGACAAGTTGGAATGGTTATGGGTTGCAGGAACAAAAAGAGAAGAATTTGCCCTTGAGGGTCCTACTGTGCCAGAACAGAGAATCCCCAGAAAGATTGTAGAATCTCCCTTCTTGGAGGTTTTCAGTTCTCAGATGGGTAAGTCCCTAAGCAACTTCTTCTAGGTTACAAACTGGAATTTCTTTAAGTTGGATGTTGGACCACAGACCTCCACCCTGTCGATGTTCCTTCAGGCAAAAAAAAAAATCCTGTGATTCTATGAAATCATCTCTTGATTGTCAAAGAACAAGAAGCATAAGGCATTTAAACTGGATAGGACACTTCAATACTAATTTTTGCTATAAACATCCCATTGTATTTCTTTCATGATGAGCAAAGTTAAAATAACTAATGTAAAGTGTCACTGTCTTAAGATCTCCATTATGTATAGCTAAGACACACAAAAAAGGCAGGAAGATAAATAGATTGAGAGGTAATATTATTTACTCAAGGATTAGTGGAATAGTACAAGAATACTGTCAGAGGCAGAGTTAAGACGTGTATCACTGAGCAATATTCTAGGCAAAAATCTATTTTCTTTATCTTGTTAAAATGTAATACTTCTCTCACAGGTATAATTAAAATTATAAGCTTTCCAATATAATAATTTGCCAATGAGCCAATACAGACATTCCTATACAGTCATTAACAACTACAGTTACTATTATTGGGTTTGCCAATTACAGTTTCATTAGGATGTCTTGGAAATGCAGAAGAAAAGGAAGAAATTGTGGAAGAGCTGGCAGAAGCAAGGAGTGGCGGTGGGCAGCAGAAGGCCATAGAGAAGAAGGAGGAAGCAATGGAGAAGGTGACAAAAGAAGTTGCAAAGGGCTGCAGCAGAAGCAGATAAGGAGGAGGTGACAGAGGAAGGGATGTAGGAAAGGAAGCAGAAGAAGGTGGTGGAAGAGAAGAAGATGGTGAATGAGATGACAGAGTAGGTGACAGAAGAAGCTGGAAGAAGGTGCTGAATAAGAGAAGGTGGCGGGAGTGGAAGGTGACAGAGGCCAAAGGTGGAGATATACAGTGGCTAAAGGGTGGAAGTCATGGAATGGTGTGGTGGTGAAATACAGTGGTAAAGGCAGTGAGACAGGAGGCAGCTTCAGGAATATGGAGGCAGTGGCTGATTAATTCAGTGGTGGAAGGTGGCAGCAGTGGGAGGTGGCAGAAGGCAGCAACAGGAGGCAGTGATGAAATGTGACAGCAGACTGCACTGACAGGAGCTGGTGGTAGCAGAAAGCAGTGGAGGAAGACAGCAGAGACAGGCGGTGCATGAAGGCAGCAGCGGTGGAAGGAGGCATCAAAAAATGGTGGTGGAAGAAGACAGAAGGTGGAGGTGGCAGAAGGAAGGCACTTGCGTTGGAAGGTGGCTGTGGCAGATGAAGGCAACAGAAGCAGGCAGAAAAATAGAAGGAGGCGGCAATGGTGGAGGAAACAAAAAAAAAGGCAGAGGAAGAAAGCCACAGAATAAAGAAGAAGGAAATGGAGGAGGCAAAGAAAAAATATTGCAAGAAGAGAAGGAGAAGGCTACAGACAAGGCAATGACGGAAGGCAGAAGACATTGGAAGAAGAGAAAAAGGAGGCTATGGAAGAAGACAGTGAAGGAGGGGGAGGAGGAGGCTGTGAAAGTAAAGAAGGAAGAAACAACTGGGGAGACAATGGTGAAGAAGGTGATGGAAGAAGAAGCAAGAGACAGCAAAGGTGGTGAAGGAAAAAGGTGGCAGAAGAAATAAAGAGGGAGGCAATGTCAGCGGTGGAAAAAGGCAGTGAAGGAAGAGAGGGCAGATAGAATGCAGCAGAATTCAGCAGAAGTGTGTGATGGAAGAAGAAAAGGAGGATGTGAAAGAAGGCAATGGAAGAAGGTGCTAGAATTAGGAATGAAGAAAGTGATGAAGAATGTGGTGAGGTAAGTGATGGAAGAAGACACCAGAAAAACATGGTGGAAGGAGGATGTGATGGTACAGGTGACAAAAGAAGATGGCAGAGAAAAAGAAGGCAGAAGGAATGGAGAAGGTGGTGGAATAAAGTCTCAGAAGAAGGCAGCAAAAAACCAGATGGAAGACTTGATGGAAGAAGGTGCTGGAAAAAGAGCAGGAGGCAATGGAACAAGGCAGAGTGAGGAGAAGGCCACAGAAGAAAGCAGAGGATGAAAGTGGTAGAAGAAGGTGGTGTAAGAAGAAAAGGAGGAGGAGACAGAAGAGGTAGAATAGAATAAGGAAGTGGAAGAAAGGGGGCAGCAGAAAGGAAGGAGGAGGCAATGGAAGAAAATGTTGGAAGATTAGGAGAAGATGAAGGAGGAGATGGAGGAAGTGACTGTTCTTATTTTGCCTGGCATAGAGTTAGCTTTCTTCTTCGTAGTTGGTACAGCACTATGTTTTTAATCTGAGAATAATATTGATAACACCCTGATGCTTTGGTCGTTCCTATGTAGTGCTTACTCCACATCAAGGACATTTCAGCTTTCCATGCTCTACCAGCAAGAAGGTTAACATGAAGCTGTGGGGTAGATAGCTGGGAGAACTGACACTAACTGGCCAACAGGATATTCCACACCACAGAATGTAAACTGGAAGGAGTTGGGCAGACAGAACTAATTACTGCCCAGAGACAGGCTGAGCATTGCTTAGCAGGTGGTAAGCAACTGACCTTTGCTTTTCTGGTGTTTTCTTTTATGTTATTATTATACTGTTTTCTTAAGAATTAAACAGTTCTTATCTCAAGCCACAAAGGTATTTGGTTTTTCTTTTTTCTGATTCTTCTCCCCATCCAGCTGCAGGATTGGAAGTGAGGGAGTGAGTGAGCAGCTGCACTGTACCTAGTTGCTGGCTGGGGTTAAAGCATAATGATTCTTTTTTTTGTGCTAGTGTGGGGCACGAAGGGTTGAGATAACTACAGATCTGACCAAAGTGCGATAAAACAAAAGAATTTTTCCATATTAAAAAAAAAAAGCATTTTTATCAACTTATACGATACGATAGAATTGCTAGTCTTGAAACTAATCTGATCTGTGTGCTCAGCATTGCTGTCACCTCTGTGTTTTGGGAGCCATCTATTGGGAACTATTAATAATTACATGCTTTGCCTTTTCTCCTTGCAGAGCCAATATAGGGAGGAAATTAATTCCTTCCTTCCTTCCCTTCCTTCCTTCCTTCCTTCCTTCCTTCCTTCCTTCCTTCCTTCCTTCCTTCCTTCCTTCCTTCCTTCCTTCCTTCCTTCCTTCCTTCCTTCCTTCCTTCCTTCCTTCCTTCCTTCCTTCCTTCCTTCCTTCCTTCCTTCCTTCCTTCCTTCCTTCCTTCCTTCCTTCCTTCCTTCCTTCCTTCCTTCCTTCCTTCCTTCCTTCCTTCCTTCCTTCCTTCCTTCCTTCCTTCCTTCCTTCCTTCCTTCCTTCCTTCCTTCCTTCCTTCCTTCCTTCCTTCCTTCCTTCCTTCCTTCCTTCCTTCCTTCCTTCCTTCCTTCCTTCCTTCCTTCCTTCCTTCCTTCCTTCCTTCCTTCCTTCCTTCCCTTCCTTCCTTCCCTTCCTTCTTTACTTCCTCCCTTCCTTTCTTACCTCCCTCCCTCCCTCCCTCCCTCCTTCCCTCCCTCCTTCCCTTCTTCCTTTCTTCCTTCCCTCCCTCTCTCCTTCCCTCCCTCTTTCCCTCTCTCCCTCCCTCCCTCCCTCCTTGCCTTCCTTCCTGCCTGCCTGCCTGCCTTCCTAAAATAGAGGAAGTGTCCTTTGCTTGTTCTCTCAACAAGCCATCCCTACCAAATTTTGCATGCTACTCCCTAAGAGACAATAAGGAATCAATCGTTCCCCAGGCCACTCACAATTTAATAAATTCTTATCATGTTCATGTCCTACATCCTCTTCCTCTCTAGGACACTAAGAATCCATGACTTTGGCATGGGCAGAAATATAAGAAAAGCATTGTGGCCATAGGTTAAAGAGAAATATAGGCATAGAGAACAAGGCAAGAGGCTGTGACAGCAGTTTTGTCCAGGTGTGCAGAGATGGAGGATAAGAAGCTTTGGAGAATGTACCAGCTTCTCCCAGAAAGGAGACAGGTGGGAAGAGAGGATCAATGCAACCTCCACCACCAAGTTCTGTGAGGTATAAAAGGACTATCCTCAGAAAGGCCTCCTGATTTATGCTTCTAGGAAGTTTATCTCTGTCAACCCACAGTTTTACCAGGTTTCTCTTTCCCAGGATCTTGCATCAGCCTGTACAAATATATTTCCTTTATTTCAGTCCTGTGATGATACAGCTGACTGAAATATTTCAACGAGGAATATGAAGTTCTAGAAGTACACGCTGCCATTGCTTGTACATTAATAATACCTAACACAGTCACCATCCCTCCCCCTTTCTGTACCCCTGGAGCCCCCAGCTTTGTACTGCAGCATCACTGCATGAAATGAGAAACTTGTTTACAACAACAGATGTACACCCTTGCGTGTGTTCTTTGAAAGAGCCTGCAAAAAATGTTACATTGGGTCTGTGGAATGTTAAGCAGCATATCTGATGACAGCACATGTCTGTGCCAATGGGATGTTTTGGACAAAGAGAATAGAAATTTCAAACTAAACACTATAATAAACTGGAAATTTTTATTGCTCCACTTAGTTATGATGGGATTGGACAGCTTTGGTAATTTTTGACCCTCTTTGTCCTATTATGGACATTTTCCTTTCCCACAGGAAGCTTCTAATTCTTCTTTCTTTCACAGAATAAAACATGCTTGTAAGAAAGCTGTGCATTAATACCAGTTTAAAGGCCAACAGAATTCATGCACCACCTTGGAGAAGTCCCTGATCTTGGACTCATACTTCAACATGAAGGAAAATTTCCCTCTGGACAGTGATACAGTGCGTATCCGTCCTCCAGGGTCCATAAAAAAATTAACCGAGAAATGGAGAGGAAGAGTATTCCTATTTAGTCTCTCAAGCTATTCCAGCATCTCCAAGCATATGGCTTCTCTTTAATGTCTCTGGAGAGAATCCTGTGTCTTTTAGGAGCTAACACAACAAAGTTGGCAGCTGCTTGGAAAATGAACACGATTATTCAGCAAAGCCTTAGGCTTTAGTAAACTTTGCATCATGACAGAAATCCCCACTCCTGCAGAGAGGGATTTCAGAAGATCTCACAATTTGTGTTCACAGGATTATTGCTCATCTACATTACACTCATGAACATCAGCATTGTAGTGAAATTCTTGTGTGGCAAAAGTCAGTCTGTAGACGATTCCAAAGATGCATAAAAGCATGGTTTGGTACTTAGGCAGACATTTAAATACAGGTTAGCAGAGAGAAATTTGAAAAGGGAGATGCTGAGCATTCCCACATTTGAACTTGGGAAGTGGTAGGAGGGCACAAGATCATTTCTCTATCCTCCCTTTTGAAATTACAATGGAGGAAATTGATTTAGGAAAACACTGTGTTGCATATGATAAAACCACACATTATTCAAGACAAGAAATTTGCTAAAATAAACTGAACAAAGATAACCACTGGGTTTGGTTGATTTCTTTTTTTTTTTTTTTTTCCAAAAAAATTCAATGTAACTTTCTGTCCACTACCTAAAATATTCAACTTTGGGTAAAAATATACATTTTTAAGAAAGATACCATCAACACAGAGGAATCTGAAAGAGGTCTGAGAGTTGTTATTCCTGTTATACAGGTGCTGTGTATAAGAATGAGACAGACAAACAACTACACATCATCCAAAGCCAAAAGGTATTTTTAGATTGAAGGCTACCTTACAGAGTGACTAAAATAGCTCGCTATCTTAGCAGAGGTTTATGATTAACGGGTGTGTTATTTGTACATTCTACCAATACCTGTTAATGCCCACATTTGGATCTTCAAATTTTCCACTGTGTACTTTTTTTCTGGAGAAAACCTTGGACTAGAGATAAGACCACCACCAAGAACATATTTCTAGCAGCCCCCATGTCCAGTCAACCAGTCTGGGTTTGAGGCCAAATCAAGACCATGAAGTGCCTGCTGCTTCTCGCCTTTATTGGGGTGGCTGGTGAGTATATTTTTAATTTTTATTTCTTTCATTTAATAGGAAGCTCTTTTTCTGAACAAAAATGCAAGGTAGTCTATTGTGGGAAAGCCAAGTCCAGTTTTAACTTGCCTAAGTCAGACTCCTGCACCTTCCATCTCCTGTCTGTTCATAATGCCCTGTGCCACAAGCTGGGGAATGAATGCTTCATAGGGTTTCCTGACCTAGCTATGCAGATGTGGCCACAGCTTCAGAAAAAGGCTGCCTGCTTCTTCAGGACTGTGGAGTGCACAGGGAATAGTTCTGGCCCAGGAAGTTCTAAAGCAACTGCAAAATTTTGGACCCTCAGTGGGTGGTCCAAGAAAATATCACTGCACACTTGTTTTTACTTTTTCCCTCAGTCAACCCTTGACTGTTTCAGTTGATGGGATCCAGGGAAAGACACACCTGTGATCCCATCCAACAAGAACGTTTCTGTTTCCCTGTGTTCCCTCAGGGAGCAGCCAGCAGGGCTTTACTTGCAGATACGTGAGGCACCAGTGTAAGTCTGATCCCCTTCTTTGAGGGTGCAGCAAATGCCTGTGCCTTAGAGCTGCCCACCAGCGCTGCCCTGAGTGTCCATAGAAGGGGAGCCTACAAGGCAGTCACAGGGCAGATTACAGGCCACATTACCTTAGGCCAGCTGTTGACACATGGCACTTCTTGTCCCCCAGTTGCCTTCCCCACCTTTGCTGAAGATGACGATGACAAGATTGTGGGAGGCTACACCTGTGGAAAGAACGCTGTGCCCTATCAAGTGTCCCTGAATTCTGGATATCACTTCTGTGGAGGTTCCCTCATCAGCAGCCAGTGGGTCGTGTCAGCTGCTCACTGCTACAAATCGTGAGTGGAAAAATTACATCCTTCTCTAACCTACTGCTGTCTTCCAGTTCATCTCTAGCAGGAATTCTGAGCTATGAGACAGAAATATGTAAGTGCCTCCATACTTACTGGAGACAGCCAAGGGATGGGTGGATCATTCAGGAAGCCAGACCAAGGCATCCTGAGAGGTTTTCCATTCTGCAAATGTTCCTGTGAAGGCAGAGCATTTTCTGAAATAACAGTGGGATAATCAAGCAGAGAATTCTGGGCTGTGATTTCTTATCAATTGCATGAATCTTGCTAAGGAATTCTCCCTGGAGAGCAGGAAGAGGATCGAGGTCAGGCTGGAGCTGTTTACTTTGTCCCAGAAGATCTGTACCTAGAGCTGCTCTGTATTCAGCTGCTGTCATGTATTTATAAACCTGCAGAAATTCACCACCCATGCTTGGAGTGGGTTAAGATCTCAGTGTGGATCCCCAGGGCTCCCTGCAGGACAAGAAAGATCCCCTGCCCCAGAAGGCTTCTGTGGCAGTGATGTTGGACCAATGGCTCTCCGTGACAGGGGGTTTCTCTCAAGCTGCCGTAGCAGTAAAGGACACACTGTGCCTTCTGTTTTCCAGTCGCATCCAAGTGCAGCTCGGGAAACACAACCTGGAAACCACCGAATCCACGCAGCAGTTGATCAACTCTGCTAAAGTCATCCGCCACTCTGGCTACAGCCCCTACACCCTGGACAATGACATCATGCTCATCAAGCTGGCCACCCCAGCCACGCTCAACAAAGCTGTCCAAACCATTCCTCTGCCTACCAGATGCGTGGCCACCGGCACCACCTGCCTGATCTCCGGCTGGGGCAACACTCTCAGCAGTGGCTGTGAGTACTCTGGGGGAACGTACAGACCCTTGGGGCCCAGGACAGTCTCTGTGACCTGGCCATTAACACCCAACAGGACAGGCTACAACACAGGGAAATGCTGTGGGACAGGTTTTTTGAGTGATGCAACAGTGTAGGGACTGCACAGCGGATTCAGCTAATGTCAACAGAGTTGTCAATTCTCTGAGAATAAGGATGAAGTCTGAGACTATGGATCTAGAATTCCTACTAGAGATCTCTGTTCTCTCACACTTATGGTCAGAGGTGTGCATGGCGAGTGGTGTCTATTCCACTGATGACATCTAAACCTGCACCAGGGGAGAGGATGGTTTTCCTGAGGCTCAGGTTTCTTCCAGTGTATATATCACAAGAGTGACTCCTCTCTTGCCAATTGATGAACTTCTAGGTACCAGAAAAGTTAAGGTGCCTGCAGTGTAGAATGGTGGGCCCATGGGTAGAATTTGTTCCATCTCTACAGAAGGGACTCATGCTGTACTTACTGTTGACAGGAAGCAGGATGGCTGCTAGGACAGGGCATCCAGCATTTGCTTTTCTGCTAAGATATCTGAGCTCTGAAAAGAATTCAGCAATGCCATCAACCATCTTTGCCTATTTCTTTGCAGCCAACTACCCGGACCAATTGCAGTGCCTGAATGCTCCAGTCCTCTCCGCTGCTGAGTGCTCTGATGCCTACCCTGGGCAAATTACCAACAACATGATGTGTGTAGGATTCATGGAGGGAGGAAAAGACTCCTGCCAGGTAAATCATCTGCCTCTCCTTTCCCAGTCATTTCTCTCCTGCCTCTTCCCAGCTGAAGAAGTCTTCACACTACAGAGTCAGCTATACTCACTGCACTGGTAAATCTGAGGTTGTGAATGACAGCAGAGGCTTCAGGCACACATATCCTGGAGGTTTGCCATGTACCACATCTGGCAAAAACAGGCAGCTGACTCATCCTTAGCTGTGGTGCCCTTGGAGCTCAAGTCAGACATGGTAGCATCAGGTGGAGAGTGTGAATGAGTAACAGCCTTTGGAGAACTTTTGTGCAGAGTACGCCAGGAGGGGCTTCCTGCAGAGTCAGTGATCTCAGGGATCTCTGCCTCATTGCTTAGGCTGATGCCATTTGCTGAATATCCATATCCTTTGTGTGCACAGGGAGATTCCGGCGGTCCTGTGGTCTGCAACGGAGAGCTCCAGGGCATTGTCTCCTGGGGTTTAGGATGTGCCCAAGAGGGCTACCCTGGAGTTTACACCAAGGTTTGCAACTACGTCTCCTGGATCCAGTCCACCATTGCCTCCCACTGAGATGCTTGTTTGGTGTGACCTGTATTTTCTCATCATCATTTCTGTTCTTTTGTGTCTGGACAAGCAGAAATTATGAGAAATTAATAAAGACTTTCAGGCACTCCTACTTTTTGCACTGTTTCTCTGGGAACTTCCAAAGGCTCTTATATGGAGCACATATGTAATGAATGCAACACAGGAGGAAGTATTTAATATTTGCAGTGTCTGTAGAACTGGATGCATTCTGGAAAACTTTACAGACTCATATTTAGAAGACTTGCCATCCGTTATTTTCTGTTGTTTTCTGAAACTTTTCTTTTAAGTCAGTTACTCCACATTTCTCACTCTGAAAAGGCCATTTCAGGCTTCTGCTTCCTCCTTCTGCAGCTCTCTAGTCCATTCACTGTAGAGGATGCTGCTTGCTTCTAGATACGAGGGCTGCCCTGAATTGCCTACACTTTGTTATCCTCAATGCAAAGGACAGTGCAGGGGCTCAGAGAAATCCGATACTCACCTAAATCTTCATAATCTATCAAGAACAGAAGCTGGAAATTCCTTACTGGAGTGGGAAGAACAGGCTTGGTCAGAGGAGCTGCAGCTCATACCATAGCTGTGGGGACACAGAGATGCTGTCTGATGCTCAAGTTCTTGTGCTTTAAGCTGTAAGTAGGTGTTACATGGAGTCACTCACTAGCCTCTTCCCCTGTGCGATGGGAAAAAGAGTAGAACTTAGACGCTGAGATCCGAACAGAGCAATAATACAAGTAAATAACAAAAGAAAGAGAGAGAAATAAAAGTCATGTAAATCCCTGTGATGCACAATACTGTCACTCACCACCCACTGGCCCAGTGCCCAGCCCATCCCTGAGCAGTGACAGGCAGCACCTGGCCAGCTCCCCTCAGTTTCCTTACTGAGCATAAGGCTGAATGGGAGGAAATATTGGTTTAGCCAGTCTGGGTCTACTCTCTCAGATATGCTCCCTTTCAACTACTTGTGCACCTGTTCTATGGCAAAACATGAGACACTGTAATTTCCTGAATTTGCGGTAAGCACTGCTTAACTACAACTAAAACTCTGTTAACACCATTATTCTAATATTGAATTCAGAACACAGCACTGTGCCATAGTCTCCACTGCAGGATCCTGTCACCTGCTTAGCACTTGCCTGAGTTTTCCTCAGGACTTCCGTGGAAATTTCTACTTCACTGAAACACTGAAATTGGGTTACAACCTTCTCCTTCCCAGCATTATGAGGCACAAGTTCTACAAGGGATCCTAGCCGAATTCCACTTCTTTGTCCTTCCCTACAGTCAGGCAGAGCTCTAGGCACACAAAGGAGAAGGATGAGGGAAATGTGCTCCCAGCACACCTCGCCAGAATGGCCTGTCACTCCTTCCCTGTGTCCCTTTCACCCCTTGCCACTGTCCCCCAGATGTTATTTATCCCTGTGATCATTGGGTTCCCTAGGTGTCCCATGCAGACTTGGTGGAGCAGAGCACATGTGGATTTTCTTCAGAGCAGAAACACCTGAGGGCACAGTGGAGAGGCTGCAGTGGCCTGGGTCTCCTCAGCCTGTGAGCAGAGCAGCACAGAGGAGTCCCTGGCAGAGCAGGAGTGAATGAATTTGCACTGTACAGCTGCTTTCCAGACCCCAGTGCTCTCACTGCCTGAATCCCAGCGGCAGCCTCCAGACCCCACTGGAGGACAAGCTCAGTCCTGCCAGGAAAGCAAATCTCCTTGGAGAGGCCAATCCTCAGGGCAGAGGGGGCAATGACACAGATGCTCTCTGTCATTCCCCAGGGCTCCCAGCCAGCCAATGCCTTCTCTCACTTCTTGGCCAGCCCCACCCCGAGATGTCTCACACTCACCCACTGCTCCCTCTCCACATGTCTTTGGGCAGCTACCAGGGGCAGGTTGCTGTGAGGGTAGGGGCATTTCCTTCCATGGTTCCCTGCTGGTACTTTGTGGCCATGCTGGCCCCTCTGGGTAAGTGAACTCAACACTGCCCTGAGCACCTCCACTGATCCCGCTGCTGCTCTCCCAGCTGTGTAGCATGTTCCTGCTTCTGCTTCCTTCTGCAGAGCTTTCTGCATTGAGGCTAAGCAGTGAATGTGTTGGGCAGGAATCCCTGAATCTGCTGCAATGGATGTTTATTTGTCATTCTTTGTGCAGCCTGTAGATGATTCCTGGTTTTGGACTCAAACTGCCCAGGAATGTTTGTTGCCTATTGAGGAGAGATTGGAAATTCAGCAGCTGATCTGAAGAGCCATCCCATGCCTTGAACTGTTCCCTTGGCTGCTCTAATTCTAGTCACTCTTTCCCTACCAACCCACAGTCCCTAGTTCATATTTTTTCAATTTTTTTCCTTTTTCTCACTGCTCCTACTTTTCCTTCACAGTGTTAGCCCTGGAACGGTCTCCAGACATGGTGATAAAAGAAGGCCAGTCCATGAATCTGGAATGTTCCAAGAAGAAATACGCCAGCACAGCTATGTATTGGTTTGTGCTGCCTTCAGAGAAGAATTCCAGTCTGACCCTACTGGCTTCTGCAGTACAAGGTGGTAACCCAGTGGTGGAGAAGGGTTTTGAGAGCCATTTCAAGAGCAGCAAGATAAAAGGAGACAGTATCACCCTCTCAATAGAACATACCTTTCTCAATGACTCTGGCACGTACTACTGTGCTGAGGGCGAGCACAGTGCTGAATCTGCTGAGGGAGCTGAGCACAAACCTCTCCCTGCACATACAGGACCTGCTTTCCACCTTGTGGTTGCTGCAGGAGGCTTCTCACTCATTAGCTTCTGTGCTTCCTAGCCCTGCCTTCCTCCTCTCCTCAGATGCTGACAGTTTATTTGTCCATCTTTTTCCTCTTGACACTCCAGGCCTCCCTCTGCATTTAAGTCTTACTTGCACTACACTTGATTGTGTCAGCCCTTCTTCTCCTCTCTGTCTCTTTTCCCTTCCCCACCTTCTTCTTTCTGTCTTCAATCTGCACCCCACTGGCATCCTCTAACTTAATTCCAGTCAACCCTGCTCATAATTCTCACTGTCAAACAGCATAAATGCTTGTGTAGATAAAGGCAAGGCCTGGCAGGTGTGGAAGTAGACAATACCATGTGGGAGCTGCAACACACGTTATTCTGTTACAACGACATGTCTGTGGTTGTTCTGTGGCCACAGATATGAACATTAGAGTACAAGTCTGTGCTTACGCAGTTAAGGTGTTACATGGATCCCTAACTCCTCCATGTAGAGTGGTGTCTAGGGCAGGATCCACTGAGAGGGCTGTGCAGCTTTTAAGATTGGCCGTGACAGGTTGGACTGATGCACGGAGAGGAACTTTCTGAAATTCAATAAAGGCAAATGCAGGGTATACTGCAGCTGGGGAGAAATAACCCCATGCAGCAGCACAGGCTGGGGGCAGGCCTGCTGGGAAGCAGCTCTTCGGAGAAGGACCTGGGGGTCCGGATGGACAAGAATATCCCCATAAACCAGTAGTGTGTCCTGGTGGCCAAAAAGGCACTGGTGTCATGGGATGCATTAGAAAGAGCAAGAAGCCAGTGGTGTCCTGGAATGCATTAGGAAGAGCATTGCCAGGTGCGGATCCATTCAGCCCTGGTGAGGCAAATCTGCAGTGTTATGTCCCTTTAACCACGGACGTGAAAAAGAGAGTTCAAAAGACACATGGATGTCCTGGAGAATGTCCAGGACAGGAGATAAAAGATGATTAGTAGAGTGGAGCACGTCTTTAGTGAACAGTGACTAAGAGAGCTGGGCCTGTTTTGCCTTGAGAATAAAGAACTAAATAGCCACCTCATCAATGTCTACAAGTATCTGAAGGGAGGGTCCCAAGAGGTGGAACCAGGTTCTTCACTTTGATGCCCAGTGCGAGGACAAGAGGCAATGGGCAGAAAATGAAGCACAGGAAGTACCATCTGAATCTAAGGTCAGAGCTTTGCAATGTGAGTGGCCGTGCACTGGAGCATATTGACCAAAGAAGTTGTGCAGCCTCTCTATCAGGAGATATCCCGGAATCATCTGGATACAATAGTGTGCCGTGTACTCTGGAATGACTCTGCTTCAGCAGGGAGGTTGGAGTAGTGACCACCTGAGGTCCCTCCTTAGCTGGCCCATCCCGTGATTCTGTCCTGCATAACACAAACCTATGCACAGCACAGGCCTGCATTGGGGACTCCAGGTGGTTCCCACCATGCAGATTCCATCCTAATGTCCAAGCTCCTCAGCACCTAAACTCAGGGCCCCACATGGCAGCCATGCCGGTTCAAAATCACTAACTCCCTCATACACAGTGTTTTCTGCAAGGCTCCATCTGCCCTGCCCTCTGCACACCCCAGGCCATTGAGCACCCTTTGTATGGACACATCAGGCACAGCCTCCTCTCTGCTGGAGTGCTGCTGGTGGTGTGAGAATTTGGGGATTCTACAAAGTAGCCCAATCCCTTTGCTATTTTCTCCAACTTCTTTAGAGGAATCTGGAGTCTTCGCTGAATCTTTCTAGGCAGCTTAGTGAAATGAATGCAAAGGGACACACGCAGAGCTGAAGCAGAGGGTTTAGGAAGATATGAAGGCATTGCTGCTCTCCTCTGCAGACAGGACACAGGGGAACATCTTCACTGCAAAGCCCAGGACAGCCTTGAGCAGTCGCCTCACTTGATGTGCTGTAGACACAAAGGAGAAAAAGAGGAGACAAACAGAGGGACACAGACACAAACATGCATTCCTGACATCTCCTGCCCTTCCGATCAATTTCTGCCATTTTGTGCATTCCTGTGCACACACTCAGGCTGCCACACAGCCCCATCCTGCTCTGTGATAGCTCTGAACCATGCTACCTACTGGAGTCCCAGCTACTCCTGCACAGCCACGTTCACACACAGCAGGCAGCCAGAGGAGCAGAGTACAAGCACCTCATGACTGCCTGCAGGTGTCATTGCCCACCGTTCCTGGACAGGCAACAGCCTTGTGACATTTCAGACTCCCGCTCACTCCCCAGCCCACCCACAGAGAGACGGATCTCGTCCTCTTCACCTCTCTTCTTTACACATCTCTGTGTCTGTGCTGTCACCAGGGGCAGGTGGCTGGAAGGAGGGGAGTTTTTCTATGGATTTCCAGTGGTTCCTTGTGGCCATGCTGCTCCCTGTGGGTAAGTGGGTTTCCCTTCCTCTTGAGCAGCTGCTCTGGAGCTGCTGCTGCTGCATCCTCAGCTTTGCTCAGAGTTGCTGGCAGTGCCCCTTTCCCAAGGCTTCCAAGGGGGAGGGTGGGCAATGAACCAGATGAGCCTTTCCACCACCTATTGAATCAGGAAACTCTGGAAGACTGAAAATTTGTTTTTTCCTGCCCCTTTTTAATACTTTACTTAAGAGTACCAAAGTCATTTCTTCTCAAAACATACTGACTGTTGCATTTGAATATGGTCTGTTTGGGGTTTTTTCATACTATGTATCTTTTTTTAGAGAAGCAGGGCACTGTCCCATAGCTTTCTGATATGCTGGGGGCATTCCATGGCATTCATCAAGGATGTATATTTTTGTCTTCTTTGATGCATTTCACTTCCCACCTTTCATCTCCTGTCTTTCCAGGCTGGGCCCTTCAGCAATCACCAGATACAATTGTCCGAGTGGGAGACACCGTGACTCTGGAATGTTCTGCATCAGGGAAAACTTTTGTAAACATGTACTGGTACAAGCTACCCATGGAGAAGGATGCCAGTATGCAGTTGGTTGTATATTCATTGGAAGGTGGCAAAGCAGATATTGAGAAAGAATTCAAAAATCGCTTCCAGAGCAGTGGGACTAGGAACAACCATTTATCTGTGAAGATACAGCCTGCCCTCCTCAATGACACAGGCACATATTACTGTGCTGAACAAGATCCACAGTGACTCAAAGGCAGGTGCAGCACAGCACAAAGGTCTCCAGGCAAACAGGGATCTGCCACCAGCACACCCTGAGCACTGTTTTTGACAGAACCCCGTTTTCTTACCTGACATTTAGTCCATCAGGAAAAACAGGGCATTACTGTCTGTCCAACTTTCCACCTGTGTGTCCATCTATCTGTCGTTCTTTCTTTAGCATGGTGTATAGCTGCCTTTCTGTTCTATCCCATCTCTGAATCACCATCTAATTCTGCTCTCTTGTTGTTCCCACTGTCACACCTCATTTTTCTGCCATTCACAGACTGTTCCTCACTTTCCTGCTTAGCACTTGCATATACTTTTCCTCAGGACTTCCATGGACAATTTCCTTCTAAGAAACACTGATTTGGGTGACACCACATGAGCCTCCTCCTTCGTATTGTTATCAGACAGAAATTCCACCAGGGATTCTAGCCCAATTCCACTTCTTTGTCCTTCCCTATTGTCCAGCAGACATCTAGGCACAGGAAGTGGAAAGATGAGGGAAATGTGTTCCCAGCACACATGGGCAGGAAGGTCTATCAGTCCTTCCCTATGTCCCTTTCACCCCTTGCCACTGTCCCAGATGTTATTTATCCCTGTGATCATTGGGTTCCCCAGATATCCCATGCAGACTTTGTGGAGTAGAGGACACGTGGACTTTCTTCAGAGCAGAAACACCTGAGGGCACAGTGGAGAGGCTGCAGTGGCCTGGGTCTCCTCAGCCTGTGAGCAGAGCAGCACAGAGGAGTCCCTGGCAGAGCAGGAGTGAATGAATTTGCACTGTACAGCTGCTTTCCAGACCCCAGTGCCCTCACTGCCTGAATCCCAGCGGCAGCCTCCAGACCCCACTGGAGGACAAGCTCAGTCCTGCCAGGAAAGCAAATCTCCTTGGAGAGGCCAATCCTCAGGGCAGAGGGGGCAATGACTCAGATGCTCTCTGTCTCTGAGCAATTCCTGAATTCGCCAAATGAACTGTCTTCCTGAAGCCCTTGTGCCACAGGCAGCACCAGTCTGAGACACCCTGGCCTCCCCAGCCAGGCCCCAGGTCTCAGGGAGACTCCATCTCTTGAGGTACTTAGCATATTTTCTGTCACCAAGGAGAGGTCACCCTGATCCCCATTCTCAGCACCTTGTCACCCTCATGGCTGTCCCTGTGGGCTACAGTTGATCCCTTCTACTCTTCCCATGCCAGGGTATGGACTGTCTCTCAGCTCTCCACAGGTACTTACCTTCCTCTCCTCCTGCTCTCACTGTCACATCCATGACAGCCCTCACAAGTCTGAGTGCTCAGGCTGCTCTGGCGTATTTTGGGGCCCTGCTCCTCTCCTGGATGGTATTTGCTGTGCTCACAGTGCTGCATAGAGAAAAAGAGCCGTCACAAAGCTGGGTGGGACGTGGGGTGGCCAGGCAGGGACTGAACCAGCCATGTCTGGGGAAGACAAGGGAGAGTGCATGGGAAAATTTACGGGCCCTGTGTGGGCCCTTTATCCCTCATTGCTCCATCTCACAAGGACTTGAGAAGCAGGAGGGGAGCAGCCAGCATTTCTCTGCCTTGCACACACTCATCTGCCCCTGCAAGCTCAGCACACTTCTGTCCTTCCATCCCCATCCTTCCCACCACAGCCACCCATGCCCAGCCTGCCCCTTCCACCTGCTGCATCTCTGCAGGGTTTCTGCTTTCCTGCCATAGTTTGTGCTGACACATTCCCCAGGGCTCCCAGCCAGCCAATGCCTTCTCTCACTTCTTGGCCAGCCCCACCCCGAGATGTCTCACACTCACCCACTGCTCCCTCTCCACATATCTTTGGGCAGCTACAAGAGGCAGGTTGCTGTGAGGGTAGGGGCATTTCCCTCCATGGTTCCCTGCTGGTTCTTTGTGGCCATGCTGGCCCCTCTGGGTAAGTGAACTCAACACTGCCCTGAGTAGCTCCACTGATGCCGCTGCTGCTCTCCCAGCTGTGTAGCCTGTTCCTGTTTCTGCTTCCTTCTGCAGAGCTTTCTGCATTGAGGCTAAGCAGTGAATGTGTTTGGCAGGAATCCCTGAATCTTCTGCAATGGCTGTCAATTTGTAATTGTTTGTGCAGCCCATAGATGGTTCCTTGTTTTGGACTCAAACTGCCTAGGAATGCATCTTGCCTATTGAGGAGAGATTGGAAATTCAGCAGCTGATCTTTAAGAGCTGTGCCATGCCTTGAACTGTTCCCTTGGCTACTCTAATTCTACTCACTCTTTCCCTACCAACCCACAGTCCCTAGTTCAAATTTTTCCCATTTTTTCATTTTCCTCACTGCTTCTACTTTTCCTTTCCAGTGTTAGCCCTGGAACAGTCTCCAGACATGGTGATAAAAGAAGGCCAGTCCGTGAATCTGGAATGTTCCAAAAAGAAATCCTCTAGTACAGCTATGTACTGGTTCATACTGCCTTCAGAGAAGAATTCCAGTCTGACCCTCCTGGCTTCTGCAATAGAACGTGGTAACCCAGCGGTGGAGAAGGGTTTTGAGAGCCATTTCAAGAGCAGCAAGATAAAAGGAGACAGTATCACCCTCTCAATAGAACATGCCTTTCTCAATGACTCTGGCACCTACTACTGTGCTGAGAGTGGTCACAGTGCTGTATCTTCTGAGGGAGCTGAGCACAAACTTCTCCCTGCACATACAGGACCTGCTTTCCCCCTTGTGGTTGCTGCAGAAGGCTTCTCACTCATTAGCTGCTGTGCTTCCTAGCCTTGCCTTCATCCTCTTCTCAGATGCTGATAGTCTGTATGTCCATTTTTTCTCCCTTGCCACTCCAGGCTTCCCTCTGCATTTAAGTCTTACTTGCACTACACTTGATTCTGTCAGCCCCTCTTCTCCTCTCTGTCTCACTTTCCTTCCCCACTCTCATCTTTCTGTCTTCAATCTGCCCTTCAATGCCTTCATCCCAACCTCTTTGGTTTTTTCTCCTACTTCTTTAGAGGAACCTGGGGTCTTCCCTGAATCTTTCTAGGAAGCTTGGGGAAATGATTGCAATGGGACACACTCAGAGCTGCAGCAGAGGTCTTGGGAGTGGCTGGAGGCATTGCTGCTCTCCTCCGCTGACAGGACACAGGGAACATCTTCACTGCAAAGCCCAGGACAGCCTTGAGCAGTCGCCTCACTTGATGTCCTGTATGGGCCAGCCTCATTCTGCTGTGCACACAGCACAGCACGGATGGGTAGAGCCTCTGTCACACCTCTGTACCCAAACTCAGTGCACACAAACTACGAGTGTCTCTTCCTGCCTTCAGAGGTGTCTCACTGCTTTGGTCAGGTGAACAAGGCTCTGTACAGAGCAGAGGACATGGTTTTCTCCAGCTTTGTCCATTTGTGTCCTGCTGCTCTTTTGCAGAGTGCTTCAATAAAGAGGCAAGGAGAATATTGATTCTTCTCTGGCATGGAGAAGGTCAGTGTGTAGCAGCATATCCTGAGGGGCACAGTTCTCTCCTCAGAAATCCTTCTGAGGTGCAGTCTCTCAAGGGGCAGTCCCAGTGCAGGGACTGCACTGCTGCAAAGGCAGCCTGTTGTCCCCTTGAGATTCTCTGCCAGGCTCCAAGAGACTAATGCTTGGCAGGTCAGTAGCTCTTCCCATACCTGGGTATCACGTCAGGCCTGACTGGAGTAAGTAGTGATTCCACATTGCAGCTTGCTGGGCTGGGAGTCTGTGAGTGTGAGGATGGCTTGGCAGGAGACAAACAGAGGGACACAGACACAAACATGCGTTCCTAAGATCTCCTGCTCTTCCCATCAATTTCTGCCATTTTGTGCATGCCTGTGCACACACTCAGGCTGCCACACAGCCCCATCCTGCTCCATGATAGCTCTGAACCATGCTACCTACTGAAGTCCCAGCTACTCCTGCACAGCCACGTTCACACACAGCAGGGAGCCAGAGGAGCAGAGTACAAGCACCTCATGACTGCCTGCAGGTGTCATTGCCCACCGTTCCTGGACAGCCAACAGCCTTGTGACATTTCAGACTCCCGCTCACTCCCCTGCCCACCCACAGAGAGACGGATCTCTTCCTCTCCACCTCTCCTCTTTACACACCTCTGTGTCTGTGCTGTCACCAGGGGCAGGTGGCTGGCAGGAAGGGATTTTCTCTATGGATTTCCAGTGGTTCCATGTGGCCATGCTGCTCCCTGTGGGTAAGTGGGCTTCCCTTCCTCTTGAGCAGCTGCACTGGAGCTGCTATTGCTGCATCCTCAGATGTGCTCCAAGTTGCTGGCAGTGCCCCTTTACCAAGGGTTCCAGGGGGGAAGGTGGGCAGTGAACCAGGTGAGCCTTTCCACCACCTATTGAATCAGGAAACTCTGGAAGACTGAAAATTTGTTTTTTCCTGCCCCTTTTTAATACTTTACTTAAGAGTACCAACGCCATTTCTTCTCAAAACATATTGACTGTTACATTTGAATCTGGTTTGTTTGGGGTTTTTTCATACCATGAAACTTTTTTCAGAGAAGCAGGTCACTGTCCCATAGCTTTCTGATATGCTGGCGGCTATACATGGCATACTTCAAGGATGTGTATTTTTGTCTTCTTCAATGCATTTCACTTCCCACCTTTCATCTCCTGTCTTTCCAGGCTGGGCCCTTCAGCAATCACCAGATACAATCGTCCGGGTGGGAGACACCGTGACTCTGGAATGTTCTGCATCAGGGAAAAACGTTATATATATGTACTGGTACAAGCTACCCATGGAGAAGGATGCCAGTATGCAGTTGGTTGTATATTCCGTGGAAGGTGGCAAAGCAGATATTGAGAAGGAATTCAAAAATCGCTTCCAGAGCAGTGGGACTAGGAACAACCATTTATCTGTGAAGATACAGCCTGCCCTCCTCAATGACACAGGCACATATTACTGTGCTGAACAAGATACACAGTGACTCAAAGGCAGGTGCAGCATTGCACAATGGTCTCCAGGCAAACAGGGATCTGCCACCAGCACACCCTGAGCACTGTTTTTGACAGAACCCCATTTTCTTACCTGACATTTGGTCTTACAGGAAAAACAGGGCATGACTGTCTGTCCAACTTTCCACCTGTGTGTCCATCTATCTGTCGTTCTGTCTTTAGCATGGTGTATAGCTGCTTTTCTGTTCTATCCCATCTCTGAATCACCATCTAATTCTGCTCCCTTGTTGTCCCCACTGTCACACCTCATTTTTCTGCCATTCACAGACTGTTTCTCACTTTCCTGCTTAGCACTTGCATATACTTTTCCTCATGATTTCCATGGAAATTTCCCCTTCAGAGAAACACTGAATAGGGTGACACCACATGAGCCTCCTCCTTCGTATTGTTATCAGACAAAAATTCCGCCAGGGATCCTAGCCGAATTCCACTTCTTTGTCCTTCCATACAGTCAGGCAGAGCTCTAGGCACACAAAGGAGAAGGATGAGGGAAATATACTCCCAGCACACCTCGCCAGACACCTTCCCTGTGTCCCTTTCACCCCTTGCCACTGTCCCAGATGTTATTTATCCCAGTGATCACTGGGTTCCCCAGATATCCCATGCAGACTTTGTGGAGCAGAGGACACGTGGATTTTCTTCAGAGCAGAAACACCTGAGGGCACAGTGGAGAAGCTGCAGTGGCCTGGGTCTCCTCAGCCTGTGAGCAGAGCAGCACAGAGGAGTCCCTGGCAGAGCAGGAGTGAATGAATTTGCACTGTACAGCTGCTTTCTAGATCCCAGTGCTCTCACTGCCTGAATCCCAGCGGCAGCCTCCAGACCCCACTGGAGGACAAGCTCAGTCCTGCCAGGAAAGCAAATCTCCTTGGAGAGGCCAAATCTCAGGGCAGAGGGGGCAATGACTCAGATGCTCTCTGTCATTCCTCAGGGCTCCCAGCCAGCCAATGCCTTCTCTCACTTCTTGGCCAGCCCCACCCCGAGATGTCTCACACTCACCCACTGCTCCCTCTCCACATATCTTTGGGCAGCTACAACAGGCAGGTTGCTGTGAGGGTGGGGGCATTTCCTTCCATGGTTCCCTGCTGGTACTTTGTGGCCATGCTGGCCCCTCTGGGTAAGTCAACTCAACACTGCCCTGAGCACCACCACTGATCCCGCTGCTGCTCTCCCAGTTGTGTAGCCTGTTCCTGCTTCTGCTTCCTTCTGCAGAGCTTTCTGCATTGAGGCTAAGCAGTGAATGTGTTGGACAGGAATCCCTGAATCTGCTGCAATGGCTGTCAATTTGTAATTGTTTCTGCAGCCCATAGATGGTTCCTTGTTTTGGACTCAAACTGCCCAGGAATGCATTTTGCTTGTTGAAGAGAGATTGGAAATTCACCTGCTGATCTGTAAGGGCTGTCCTATGCCTTGAACTGCTCCCTTGGCTGCCCTATTTCAACTAACACTTTCCCTACGAATCCACAGAGCCTAGTTCAAATGTTTCCCTTTTCCTCCTTCTCCTCACTGCTCCTACTTTTCCTTTCCAGTGTTAGCCCTGGAACAGTCTCCAGACATGGTGATAAAAGAAGGCCAGTCTGTGAATCTGGAATGTTCCAAGAAGAAATCCTCCAGCGCAGCTATGTACTGGTTTGTGCGGCATTCTGAGAAGAATTCCAGTCTGACCCAGTTGGTTTATGCATTCGAAGGTGGTAACCCAGTGGTGGAGAAGGGTTTTGAGAGCCATTTCAAGAGCAGCAAGATAAAAGGAGACAGTATCACCCTCTCGATAGAACATGCCTTTCTCAATGACTCTGGCACATATTACTGTGCTGAGAGTGATCACAGTGGTGAGACTGCTGAGGGAGCTGAGCACAAACTTCTCCCTGCACATACAGGACCTGCTTTCCACCTTGTGGTTGCTGCAGAAGGCTTCTCACTCATTAGCTGCTGTGCTTCCTAGCCTTGCCTTCCTCCTCTTCTCAGATGCTGGCAGTTTATTTGTCCATGTTTTTTCCTTGCTACTCCAGACCTCCCTCTGCAATTAACTCTTACTTGCACTAACTTTTTTCAGCCCTTCTTCTTCTCTCTGTCTCCCTTCCTTTTTCCCCACCCTCTTCTTTCTGTCTTCAATCTGTACTCCACTGCTTTCATCTTACTTAAGTCCAGTCATCCCTGCTCATAATTCTCACTGTCAGAAAAGAACAAGTGCTTGTGTGGGAAGTTCTGGGTGCACCTGTAGATAAAGGCAAGGCCTGGCAGGTGTGGAAGTAGCCAGTACCATGTGGGAGCTGCAACACACACTTCTCTGTTAGAACGACATGTCTGTGGTTGTTCTGTGGCCAAGTAATAAGAACAGCAGAGCACAAGCCTGTGCTTACTCAGGTAAAGGGTTATGTGAATCCCTAACTCCCCCATGTAGTGTGGTGTCTGGGGCAGGATCCACCTGCCTTCCAGCCCTTGGTCGATAAACAGTTTATCTTCAGCAAACATGCAATAAATTGACAGGTTATGTTAGCAAGCTGCGCAGCTAATAGAGATTTTCAAGAGGTTACAGTGTTTTGTTGATCAGTGACTCAGGTGAAGGGGTAGAGAGTCTCCTCAGGAACTTCACTAATAATGCCATGTTAGGAGGAATTGCTGATAGACCAGAGGGCTGTGCAGCCCTTCAGATCGGCCTTGACAGGTTGGAGCGATGGGCAGAGAGGAACCTTCTGAAATTCGGCAAGGGAAATGCAGGTTCCTATGTGTGTGGAAAAATACCCCCATGTCCCAGCACAGGCTTGGTGCTGATCTGCTGGGAAGCAGCTCTTCAGAGAAGGACCTGGGCGTCCTGGAGGACAAGAAGCTTTCCATGAGCCATCAAGGTGCCCTGTTGGCCAAGAAGCCAGTGGTGTCCTGGGATGCATTAGGAAGAGCATTGCCAGCAAGGCGAGGGAGGCAAAGCTGCACTCAGCCCTGGTGAGGCAAATCTGCTGTGTTGTGTCAATTTCTCGGCTCTTTGGTAAAAAGGAGACATGGAGCTCCTGGAGAATGTTCAAGAAAGAAGATGAATGATGATTAGTAGAGCGGAGTACCTACTAGTAGATGATTTGTAGAGTGGAGTGTGAACAAAGGCTGAGGGTGCTGGGCCTGTTCTGCCTTGAGAAGGAACAACTAAGTGGCCACCTCCTCAATGTCTACAAGTATCTGAAGGGAGGGTCCCAAGAGGTGAGCCAAGTTCTTCACCTTGATGCCCAGCACTAGGTCAAGAGGCAATGGGTAGAAAATGAAGCACAGGAAGTTCCACCTGAATCTAAGGTCAGAGCTTTGCACTGACTAAGGTGAGTGACTGTGCACTGGAGCAGATTGCACAAAGAAGTTGTGAAGTCTATTGGGAGATATTCCAGAACCATCTGGATACAATCATGTGCCATGCACTCTGGGATGACTCTGCTTGAGCAGGGAGCTTGGAGCAGTGGCCCTCTGGGGTCCCTTCTTAGCTGGCCCATCCTGTGATTCTGTCCTGCATAACACAAACCTGTGCACAGCACAGGCCTGCATGGGGCACTCCAGGTGGTTCCCACCCTTCAGATTCCATGCTAATGTCCAAGCTTCCCAGGACCTAAATACAGCACCTTTCATATTTGATAACAATTAGTGAGAAAATGATCCTCCAAAACACAGTATCCTACCCAATTACCAATTACCCTATTTACAGAAACTTGAGTTTTTGATGTAATCACTCAAATAGTTAAGGTAGACTTTCCAAGATCAATCAATATCCACAACAATTACCAAAAAGATATTAATTCATTTGTAGAGATACGGGTTAGCAAGGCATTCCATCATGCCTTAAAGTAATCCATACAATATTAGACAATTTACTATACTAACCCTCAGTGCTGAAACAGTCATTAAGAAAAAACACAGAAGAAAAAGATTTGCCCATCAATATGACAAAACCTGTAACAGAAATTTTAGGCCCTAGAATGCTGCAAAAAAAGTTTTAGCGAGTTTGTTACTACCCCAAGTTACTTCTACCATAATATTAAAACAGAAAGATCAAGTTAGATGTTAGCTAAGTAAACAAACCAATACTACATCCGCTACAATCAGTGGATACACTCACAGACATCAACAGTGCTAAGCATGCTACTCTTCAAAATAGAACATCAATTGATTTTCTTTTGCTAACCCATAAACATAGTTGTGAGGAATTTGAAAAATTATGTTGCATAAATTTATCTGATAATTCTGAAGCCATCCACAAAAGAATACAAAAGCTAAAAATTTAACAGATCAAATCAAAGAAGACAGTGAATCATAGTTAGACAATTTATTCAAAAGACAGAGCTTTATACCTTGGTTAAGAAAACTTTATGAAATAGGTTTATATGTGTTGAGTATTTTAATAGTGATATTAGTTGTACTACCTTGTATACTTCAATGTGCTCAACAAATGATAGACAAAACTATCAGGGAGGTTTTTATCATACAAGAGATAAATACAAGAAATAAAATGACACAAAATTCTCAAGATCTTACAGAGATAATAGATGAAAGTATAAGCATAAATGAAAGCTTTAAATTAAGACCTGAGAAAAAACAAGACTTATTAGAACAATAAATTGTAACTAATACCAGATTTGGCTTTTATCTTTTAAACATACCAGATCTTTTACACATTAAAAATTACTGTCGTGTAAAATAACAACACTTAGAACAAACAGAAAAGGTAATTGAAACAAACAAACAACAAAATAGGTATTATAGTGGAGCTATGTAACACCAGGTAGTTAATAAGTGACAACAGAGTTTCATTTTACTTATAGCAAGAGGGGAAAATGTGGCAAAGAGTAAAGGTAAGAAGATTTTCAGAAAGCTGGAAAAGCAGGCCTCAGAAACAGAAAGAGCAGAGAAACTCAGAAGTGGCTGCAGCTACGAAGTCTGAAGTTTAAAAAGTTACAGAAGTATAGCAAGCAAGGACATTAAACAATATCTTGAGTCTTAGGCTTGGCTGAGATAAACCTTAAGATTGCAGGAAAACATGCTTAGGAAGATAGCAGAAGGTTCTTAACTTAATAATGGAGTATTGTGTATTATTAATAGAAAGAAGACGAGCAGACATTGTGTGAAGGAGGTGTACATGTACTTTTCAAAACTGGCTAAAACAACTATCTGTAAGTTTTAGCAATATGCTATAAGCTAAAGTTTGTAAGATGCTCTGTAACAAAGAAATCTTTGGCCACTGCAGGCTGTACAAGAGGTTTACCATCCTCCTACTGTGTCAACCATGTAATGAAGCCAATTAATAACATACCCCCAGCAGTCCCATACTGTTCCTGAAAAGAGAACACCACCAACAGAGTTCCCACCCTGCAGATTCCAATGCTAATGTACAAGCTTCCCAGGATCTAACCACGGGGCCCTACATAGCAGCCATCCCTGTTCAACATCATTAACTCCTTAAATACCATGTCTTCTGCAAGGCTCCCTCTGCCCTGCTCTGCCCTCTGCAAACCCCAGGCCATTGGGGACCCTTGGCATGGACACATCAGGCACAGCCTCCTCTCCGCTGGAGTGCTGCTGGTGGTGTGAGAATTTGGCATTTCTACAAAGTAGCCCAATCTCTTTGCTTTTTCCTCCCACTTCTTTACAGGAATCTGGGGTCTTCCCTGAATCTTTCTAGGTAGCTTAGGGAAACAAATGCAATGGTACACTGGTACACACTCAGAGCTGCAGCAGAGGGTTTGGGAGGATCTGGAGGCATTGCTGCTCTCCTCTGCTGACAGGACACAGGGGAACATCTTCACTGCAAAGCCCAGGACAGCCTTGAGCAGTCGCCTCACTTGATGTCCTGTAGACACAAAGGAGAACAATGAGGAGACAAACAGAGGGACACAGACACAAAGATGCATTCCTGACATCTCCTGCTCTTCCCATCAATTTCTGCCATTTTGTGCATTCCTGTGCACACACTCAGGCTGCCACACAGCCCTATCCTGCTCTGTGATAGCTCTGAACCATGCTACCTACTGAAGTCCCAGCTACTCCTGCACAGCCACGTTCACACACAGCAGGGAGCCAGAGGAGCAGAGTACAAGCACCTCATGACTGCCTGCAGGTGTCATTGCCCACCGTTCCTGGACAGCCAACAGCCTTGTGACATTTCAGACTCCCGCTCACTCCCCTGCCCACCCACAGAGAGACGGATCTCGTCCTCTCCACCTCTCCTCTTTACACATCTCTGTGTCTGTGCTGTCATCAGGGGAAGGTGGCTGGCAGGAGGGGAATTTCTCTATGGATTTCCAGTGGTTCCTTGTGGCCATGCTGCTCCCTGTGGGTAAGTGGGTTTCCCTTCCTCTTCAGCAGCTGCACTGGAGCTGCTGCTGCTGCATCCTCAGATGTGCTCCAAGTTGCTGGCAGTGCCCCTTTCCCAAGGGTTCCAGGGGGGAAGGTGGGCAATGAACCAGGTGAGCCTTTCCACCACCTATTGAATCAGGGAACTCTGGAAGACTGAAAATTTGTTTTTTCCTGCCCCTTTTTAATACTTTGCTTAAGATTACCAAAGTCATTTCTTCTCAAAACATATTGACTGTTACATTTGAATCTGGTTTGTTTGGGGTTTTTTCATACTATGTATGTTTTTCTAGAGAAGCAGGTTACTGTCCCATAGCTTTCTGATATGCTGGTGGTATTCCATGGCATTCATCAAGGATGTATATTTTTGTCTTCTTCAATGCATTTCACTTCCCACCTTTCATCTCCTGTCTTTCCAGGCTGGGCCCTTCAGCAATCACCAGATACAATCGTCCGGTTGGGAGACACCGTGACTCTGGAATGCTCTGCATCAGGGAAAGATTTCGTAAACATGTACTGGTACAAGCTACCCGTGGAGAAGGATGCCAGTATGCAGTTGGTTGTATATTCCGTGGAAGGTGGCAAAGCAGATATTGAGAAGGAATTCAAAAATCGCTTCCAGAGCAGTGGGACTAGGAACAACCATTTATCTGTGAAGATACAGCCTGCCCTCCTCAATGACACAGGCACATATTTCTGTGCTGAAAGTAATCCACAGTGACTCAAAGGCAGGTGCAGCATAGCACAAAGGTCTCCAGGCAAACAGGGATCTGCCACCAGCACACCCTGAACACTGTTTTTGACAGAACCCCGTTTTCTTACCTGCCCTTTTGCTCTTCAGGAAAAACAGGGTATAACTGTCTGTCAATCTCTCTGTGTTTTCCATAGTCTCTAGCTACTTTTCTGTTTTTTCCCATCTCTGAATCACCTTCTGATTCTGCTTTCCTTTTGTCCTCGCTGTCACACCTCATTTTTCTGCCATTCACAGACTGTTTCTCATTTTCCTACTTAGCACTTGCGTACAGTTTTCCTCAGGACTTCCATGGACATTTCTGCTTCAGTGAAACACATAACTGGGCGACACCTGATGAGCCTTTTCCTTCCCACTGTTATGAGACAGAAATTCCACCAGGGATCCTAGCCGAATTCCACTTCTTTGTCCTTCCCTATTGTCCAGCAGCCAAGTAGGAGCAGGAAGTGGAAAGATGAGGGAAATGTGCTCCCAGCACACCTCGCCAAAAAGGTCTATCAGTCCTTCCCTATGTCTCTTTCACCCCTTGCCACTGTCCCAGATGTTATTTATCCCTGTGATCATTGGGTTCCCTAGGTGTCCCATGCAGACTTGGTGGAGCAGAGGACACGTGGATTTTCTTCAGAGCAGAAACACCTGAGGGCACAGTGGAGAGGCTGCAGTGGCCTGGGTCTCCTCAGCCTGTGAGCAGAGCAGCACAGAGGAGTCCCTGGCAGAGCAGGAGTGAATGAATTTGCACTGTACAGCTGCTTTCTAGATCCCAGTGCTCTCACTGCCTGAATCCCAGCGGCAGCCTCCAGACCCCACTGGAGGACAAGCTCAGTCCTGCCAGGAAAGCAAATCTCCTTGGAGAGGCCAATCCTCAGGGCAGAGGGGGCAATGACTCAGATGCTCTCTGTCTCTGAGCAATTCCTGAATTTGCCAAATGAACTGTGTTACTGAAGCCCTTGTGCCACAGGCAGCACCAGTCTGAGACACCCTGGCCTCCCCAGCCAGGCCCCAGGTCTCAGGGAGAATCCATCTCTGGAAGTACTTAGCATATTTTCTGTCACCAAGGAGAGGTCACCCTGATCCCCATTCTCAGCACCTTGTCACCCTCATGGATGACCCTGTGGGCTACAGTTGATCCCTTCTCTCTTCCCATGCCAGGGTATGGACTGTCCCTCAGCTCTCCACAGGTACTTACCTTCCTCTCCTCCTGCTCTCACTGTCACGTCCATGAGAGCCCTCACAAGTCTGAGTGCTCAGGCTGCTCTGGCGTATTTTGGGGCCCTGCTCCTCTCCTGGATGGTATTTGCTGTGCTCACAGTGCTGCATAGAGAAGAAGAGCCGTCACACAGCTGGGTGGGACATGGGGTGGCCAGGCAGGGACTGAACCAGCCATGTCTGGGGAAGACAAGGGAGAGTGACAAGGGAGAGTGCATGGTAAAATTTATGGACCCTGTGTGGGCCCTTTATCCCTCATTGCTCCATCTCACAAGGACTTGAGAAGCAGGAGGGGAGCAGCCAAGCATTTCTCTGCTTTGCACACACTCATCTGCCCCTGCAAGCTCAGCACACTTCTGTCCTTCCATCCCCATCCTTCCCACCACAGCCACCCATGCCCAGCCTGCCCCTTCCACCTGCTGCATCTCTGCAGGGTTTCTGCTTTCCTGCCATAGTTTGTGCTGACACATTCCCCAGGGCTCCCAGCCAGCCAATGCCTTCTCTCACTTCTTGGCCAGCCCCACCCCGAGATGTCTCACACTCACCCACTGCTCCCTCTCCACATGTCTTTGGACAGCTACAAGAGGCAGGTTGCTGAGAGGTTAGGGGCATTTCCCTCCATGGTTCCCTGCTGGTTCTTTGTGGCCATGCTGGCCCCTCTGGGTAAGTGAACTCAACACTGCCCTGAGCACCTCCACTGATCCCGCTGCTGCTCTCCCAGCTGTGTAGCCTGTTCCTGCTTCTGCTTCCTTCTGCAGAGCTTTCTGCATTGAGGCTAAGCAGTGAATGTGTTGGGCAGGAATCCCTGAATCTGCTGCAATGGATGTTTATTTGTCATTCTTTGTGCAGCCCGTAGATGATTCCTGGTTTTGGAATCCAACCTTCCAGGAATGCATATTGCCTGTTGAGAAGAGATTGGAAATTCACCTGCTGATCTTTAAGAGCTGTCCCATGCCTTGAACTGCTCTCCTGGCTGCCCTAATTCTACTCACCCTTTCCCGACCAATTCACAGTGCCTAGTTCAAATTTTTCCCCTTTTTTTTCCTTCTCCTTACTGTTTCTACTTTTCCTTTCCAGTGTTAGCCCTGGAACAGTCTCCAGATATGGTGATAAAAGAAGGCCAGTCCGTGAATCTGCAATGTTCAAAGATGCAATCCTCCAGCACAGCTATGTACTGGTTTGTGCGGTATTCCAAGAAGAATTCCAGTCTGACCCAGTTGGTTTATGCATTCGAAGGTGGTAATGCAGCAGTGGAGAAGGGTTTTGAGAGCCATTTCAAGAGCAGCAAGATAAAAGGAGACAGTATCACCCTCTCAATAGAACATGCCTTTCTCAATGACTCTGGCACCTACTACTGTGCTGAGAATGATCACAGTGGTGAGACTGCCCAGGGAGCTGAGCACAAACCTCTCCCTGCACATACAGGACCTGCTTTCCACCTTGTGGGTGCTGCAGAAGGCTTCTCACTCATTAGCTTCTGTGCTTCCTAGCCCTGCCTTCCTCCTCTTGTCAGATGCTGACAGTTTATTTGTCCATCTTTTTCCTCTTGACACTCCAAGCCCCCCTCTGCATTTAAGTCTTACTTGCACTACACTTGATTCTGTCAGCCCCTCTTCTCCTCTCTGTCTCCCTTCCCTTACTCACCCTTATCTTTCTGTACTGCAATCTGCACTCCACTGCCTTTATCTTACTTAACTCCAGTCAATCCTGCATGTAATTCTCACTGTCAGAAAAGAACAAGTGCTTGTGTGGGAAGTTTTTGGTGCACCTGTAGATAAAGGCAAGGCCTGGCAGGTGTGGAAGTAGCCAGTACCATGTGGGAGCTGCAACATACGATCCTCTGGTACAGCGATTTGTCTGTGGTTGTTCTGTGGGCAAGGAATGTGAACAGCAGAGCACAAGCCTGTGCTTACTCAGGTAAAGGGTTATGTGAATCCATAACTCCCCCATGTAGAGCTCCTCAGGACCTAAACACATGGCCTCACATAGAAGCCATGCCTGTTCAACATCATTAACTCCTTAAAAATCATGTCTTCCTCAAGGTTCCCTTTGCCCTGCCCTGCCATCTGCACACCCCAGGCCACTGGGGACCCTTTGCATGAACACATCAGGCACAGCCTCCTCTCCACTGGAGTGCTGCTGGTGGTGTGAGAATTTGGCTTTTCTACAAAGTAGCCCAATCCCTTTGCTTTTTTTCTCCCACTTCTTTACAGGAATCTGAGGTCTACCCTGAATCTTTCTAGGTAGCTTAGGGAAACAAATGCAATGGTACACTGGTACACACTCAGAGCTGCAGCAGAGGGTTTGGGAGGATCTGGAGGCATTGCTGCTCTCCTCTGCTGACAGGACACAGGGGAACATCTTCACTGCAAAGCCCAGGACAGCCTTGAGCAGTCACCTCACTTGATGTCCTGTAGACACAAAGGAGAGCAATGAGGAGACAAAAAGAGGGACACAGACACAAAGATGCATTCCTGACATCTCCTGCCCATCCCATCAATTCCTGCCATTTTCTGCATTCCTGTGCACACACTCAGGCTGCCACACAGCCCCATCCTGCTCTGTGATAGCTCTAAACCATGCTACCTACTGAAGTCCCAGCTACTCCTGCACAGCCACGTTCACACACAGCAGGCAGCCAGAGGAGCAGAGTACAAGCACCTCATGACTGCCTGCAGGTGTCATTGCCCACCGTTCCTGGACAGCCAACAGCCTTGTGACATTTCAGACTCCCGCTCACTCCCCTGCCCACCCACAGAGAGACGGATCTCGTCCTCTCCACCTCTCCTCTTTACACATCTCTGTGTCTGTGCTGTCACCAGGGGCAGGTGGCTGGCAGGAAGGGATTTTCTCTATGGATTTCCAGTGGTTCCATGTGGCCATGATGCTCCCTGTGGGTAAGTAGGCTTCCCTTCCTCTTCAGCAGCTGCACTGGAGCTGCTGCTGCTGCATCCTCAGATGTGCTCCAAGTTGCTGGCAGTGCCCCTTTCCCAAGGGTTCCAGGGGGGAAGGTGGGCAATGAACCAGGTGAGCCTTTCCACCACCTATTGAATCAGGAAACTCTGGAAGACTGAAAATTTGTTTTTTCCTGCCCCTTTTTAATACTTTGCTTAAGATTACCAAAGTCATTTCTTCTCAAAACATATTGACTGTTACATTTGAATCTGGTTTGTTTGGGGTTTTTTCATACTATGTATGTTTTTCTAGAGAAGCAGGTTACTGTCCCATAGCTTTCTGATATGCTGGTGGTATTCCATGGCATACTTCAAGGATGTATATTTTTGTCTTCTTCAATGCATTTCACTTCCCACCTTTCATCTCCTGTCTTTCCAGGCTGGGCCCTTCAGCAATCACCAGATACAATCGTCCGGGTGGGAGACACCGTGACTCTGGAATGTTCTGCATCAGGGAAAGATTTCGTAAACATGTACTGGTACAAGCTACCCGTGGAGAAGGATGCCAGTATGCAGTTGGTTGTATATTCCGTGGAAGGTGGCAAAGCAGATATTGAGAAGGAATTCAAAAATCGCTTCCAGAGCAGTGGGACTAGGAACAACCATTTATCTGTGAAGATACAGCCTGCCCTCCTCAATGACACAGGCACATATTTCTGTGCTGAAAGTAATCCACAGTGACTCAAAGGCAGGTGCAGCATAGCACAAAGGATTGCAGGCAAACAGGGATCTGCCACCAGCACACCCTGAACACTGTTTTTGACAGAACCCCGTTTTCTTACCTGCCCTTTTGCTCTTCAGGAAAAACAGGGTATAACTGTCTGTCAATCTCTCTGTGTTTTCCATGGTCTCTAGCTACTTTTCTGTTTTTTCCCATCTCTGAATCACCTTCTGATTCTGCTTTCCTGTTGTCCTCACTGTCACAATTCATTTTTCTGCCATTCACAGACTGTTTCTCATTTTCCTACTTAGCACTTGCGTACAGTTTTCCTCAGGACTTCCATGGACATTTCTGCGTCAGTGAAACACATAACTGGGCGACACCTGATGAGCCTTTTCCTTCCCACTGTTATGAGACAGAAATTCCACCAGGGATCCTAGCCGAATTCCACTTCTTTGTCCTTCCCTATTGTCCAGCAGCCAAGTAGGAGCAGGAAGTGGAAAGATGAGGGAAATGTGCTCCCAGCACACCTCGCCAAAATGGTCTATCAGTCCTTCCCTATGTCCCTTTCACCCCTTGCCACTGTCCCAGATGTTATTTATCCCTGTGATCATTGGGTTCCCTAGGTGTCCCATGCAGACTTGGTGGAGCAGAGGACACGTGGATTTTCTTCAGAGCAGAAACACCTGAGGGCACAGTGGAGAGGCTGCAGTGGCCTGGGTCTCCTCAGCCTGTGAGCAGAGCAGCACAGAGGAGTCCCTGGCAGAGCAGGAGTGAATGAATTTGCACTGTACAGCTGCTTTCCAGACCCCAGTGCTCTCACTGCCTGAATCCCAGCGGCAGCCTCCAGACCCCACTGGAGGACAAGCTCAGTCCTGCCAGGAAAGCAAATCTCCTTGGAGAGGCCAATCCTCAGGGCAGAGGGGGCAATGACACAGGTGCTCTCTGTCCCTGAGCAATTCTCGAATTTGCCAAATGAAGTGTGTTCCTGAAGCCCAACCTTTAGAAGCCCTTGTGCCACAGGCAGCACCACTCTGAGACACCCTGGCCTCCCCAGCTAGGCCCCAGGTCTCAGGGAGAACCCATCTCTTGAGGTACTTAGCAAATTTTCTGTCACCAAGGAGAGGTCACCCTGATCCCCATCCTCAGCACCTTGTCACCTCATGGCTGTCCCTGTGGGCTACAGTTGATCCCTTCTCTCTTCCCATGCCAGGGTATGGACTGTCCCTCAGCTCACCACAGGTACTTACCTTCCTCTCCTCCTGCTCTCACTGTCATGTCCATGACAGCCCTCACAAGTCTGAGTGCTCAGGCTGCTCTGGCGTATTTTGGGGCCCTGCTCCTCTCCTGGATGGTATTTGCTGTGCTCACAGTGCTGCATAGAGAAGAAGAGCTGTCACACAGCTGGGTGGGACATGGGGTGGCCAGGCAGGGACTGAACCAGCCATGTCTGGGGAAGACAAGGGAGAGTGCATGGAACATTTACGGGCCCTGTGTGGGCCCTTTATCCCTCATTGCTCCATCTCACAAGGACTTGAGAAGCAGGAGGGGAGCAGCCAGCATTTCTCTGCCTTTGCACACACTCATCTGCCCCTGCAAGCTCAGCACACTTCTGTCCTTCCATCCCCATCCTTCCCACCACAGCCACCCATGCCCAGCCTGCCCCTTCCACCTGCTGCATCTCTGCAGGGTTTCTGCTTTCCTGCCATAGTTTGTGCTGACACATTCCCCAGGGCTCCCAGCCAGCCAATGCCTTCTCTCACTTCTTGGCCAGCCCCACCCTGAGATGTCTCACACTCACCCACTGCTCCCTCTCCACATATCTTTGTGCAGCTACAACAGGCAGGTTGCTGAGAGGGTAGGGGCATTTCCCTCCATGGTTCCCTGCTGGTTCTTTGTGACCATGCTGGCCCCTCTGGGTAAGTGAACTCAACACTGCCCTGAGCACCTCCACTGATCCCGCTGCTGCTCTCCCAGCTGTGTAGCCTGTTCCTGCTTCTGCTTCCTTCTGCAGAGCTTTCTGCATTGAGGCTAAGCAGTGAATGTGTTGGACAGGAATCCCTGAATCTTCTGCAATGGCTGTCAATTTGTAATTGTTTCTGCAGCCCAATGATGGTTCCTTGTTTTGGACTCAAAATGCCTAGGAATGCATCTTGCCTATTGAGGAGAGATTGGAAATTCAGCAGCTGATCTGAAGAGCTGTCCCATGCCTTGAACTGTTCCCTTGGCTGCTCTAATTCTACTCACTCTTTCCTTACCAAACCACAGTCCCTAGTTCAAATTTTTCCCATTTTTTCATTTTCCTCACTGCTCCTACTTTTCCTTTCCAGTGTTAGCCCTGGAACAATCTCCAGATTTGGTGATAAAAGAAGGCCAGTCCGTGAATCTGGAATGGTCCAAGAAGAAATCTTCTAGTACAGCTATGTACTGGTTCATACTGCCTTCAGAGAAGAATTCCAGTCTGACCCTACTGTCTTCTGCAATAGAACGTGGTAACCCAGCGGTGGAGAAGGGTTTGAGAGCCATTTCAAGAGCAGCAAGATAAGAGGAGACAGTATCACCCTCTCAATAGAACATGCCTTTCTCAATGACTCTGGCACATACTACTGTGCTGAGAGTGGTCACAGTGCTGTATCTTCTGAGGCAGCTGAGCACAAACTTCTCCCTGCACACAGGACCTGCTTTCCACCTTGTGGTTTCTGCAGGAGGCTTCTCACTCATTAGCTGCTGTGCTTCCTAGCCTTGCCTTCCTTCTCTTGTCAGATGCTGATAGTCTGTATGTCCATTTTTTCTCCCTTGCCACTCCAGGCTTTCCTCTGCATTTAAGTCTTACTTGCACTACACTTGATTCTGTCAGCCCTTCTTCTCCTCTCTGTCTCCCTTCCCTTACCCACCCTCATAGTTCTGTCTTCAATCTGTCCTTCAATGCCTTCATCCCAACCTCTTTGGTTTTTTCTCCTACTTCTTTAGAGGAATCTGGGGTCTTCCCTGAATCTTTCTAGGATGCTTGGGGAAATGATTGCAATGGGACACACTCAGAGCTGCAGCAGAGGTCTTGGGAGTGGCTGGAGGCATTGCTGCTCTCCTCCGCTGACAGGACACAGGGGAACATCTTCACTGCAAAGCCCAGGACAGCCCTGAGCAGTCGCCTCACTCGATGTCCTGTATGGGCCAGGCTGACACTGCCGTGCACACAGCACAGCATGGATGGGCAGAGCCTCTGTCACACCTCTGTACCCAAACTCAGTGCACACAAACTACGAGTGTCTCTTCCTGCCTTCAGAGGTGTCTCACTGCCTTGGTCAGGTGAACAAGGCTCTGTGCAGAGAAGAGGACATGGTTTTCTCCGGCTTTGTCCATTTGTGTCCTGCTGCTCTCTTGCAGAGTACTTCAATAAAGAGGCATGGAGAAGGTCAGTGTGTAGCAGCACATCCTGTGGGACACAGTCATCTCCTCAGAAATCCTTCTGAGGTGCAGTCTCTCAAGGGGCAGTCCCAGTGCAGGGACTGCACTGCTGCAAAGGCAGCCTGTTCTCCCCTTGAGATCCCCCTCTGGAGTCAGAGAAGACCAGGTTCAGGACTATTCTCTGCCAGGCTCCAAGAGACTAATGCTTGGCAGGTCAGCAGCTCTTCCCATACCTGGGTATCATGTCAGGCCTGACTGGAGTAAGCAGTGATTCCACATTGCAGCTTGCAGGCCTGGGAGTCTGTGAGTGTGAGGATGGCTTGGCAGGAGACAAACAGAGGGACACAGACACAAACATGCGTTCCTAAGATCTCCTGCCCTTCCCATCAATTTCTGCCATTTTCTGCATTCCTGTGCACACACTCAGGCTGCCACACAGCCCCATCCTGCTCTGTGATAGCTCTAAACCATGCTACCTACTGAAGTCCCAGCTACTCCTGCACAGCCACGTTCACACACAGCAGGCAGCCAGAGGAGCAGAGTACAAGCACCTCATGACTGCCTGCAGGTGTCATTGCCCACCGTTCCTGGACAGCCAACAGCCTTGTGACATTTCAGACTCCCGCTCACTCCCCTGCCCACCCACAGAGAGACGGATCTCGTCCTCTCCACCTCTCCTCTTTACACATCTCTGTGTCTGTGCTGTCACCAGGGGCAGGTGGCTGGCAGGAAGGGATTTTCTCTATGGATTTCCAGTGGTTCCATGTGGCCATGATGCTCCCTGTGGGTAAGTAGGCTTCCCTTCCTCTTCAGCAGCTGCACTGGAGCTGCTATTGCTGCATCCTCAGATGTGCTCCCCGTTGCTGGCAGTGCCCCTTTACCAAGGGTTCCAGGGGGGAAGGTGGGCAGTGAACCAGGTGAGCCTTTCCACCACCTATTGAATCAGGAAACTCTGGAAGACTGAAAATTTGTTTTTTCCTGCCCCTTTTTAATACTTTGCTTAAGAGTACCAACACCATTTCTTCTCAAAACATATTGACTGTTACACTTGAATCTGGTTTGTTTGGGGTTTTTTCATACCATGAAACTTTTTTCAGAGAAGCAGGTCACTGTCCCATAGGTTTCTGATATGCTGGTGGCTATACATGGTATACTTCAAGGATGTATATTTTTGTCTTCTTCAATGCATTTCACTTCCCACCTTTCATCTCCTGTCTTTCCAGGCTGGGCCCTTCAGCAATCACCAGATACAATCGTCCGGGTGGGAGACACCGTGACTCTGGAATGTTCTGCATCAAGGAAAACTTTTGTAAACATGTACTGGTACAAGCTACCCGTGGAGAAGGATGCCAGTATGCAGTTGGTTGTAAATTCAGTGGAAGGTGGCAAAGCAGATTTTGAGAAGGAATTCAAAAATCGCTTCCAGAGCAGTGGGACTAGGAACAACCATTTATCTGTGAAGATACAGCCTGCCCTCCTCAATGACACAGGCACATATTTCTGTGCTGAAAGTAATCCACAGTGACTCAAAGGCAGGTGCAGCATAGCACAAAGGATTGCAGGCAAACAGGGATCTGCCACCAGCACACCCTGAACACTGTTTTTGACAGAACCCCGTTTTCTTACCTGCCCTTTTGCTCTTCAGGAAAAACAGGGCATAACTGTCTGTCAATCTCTTTATGTTTTCCATGGTCTCTAGCTACTTTTCTGTTTTTTCCCATCTTTGAATCACCTTCTGATTCTGCTTTCCTGTTGTCCTCACTGTCACAATTCATTTTTCTGCCATTCACAGACTGTTTCTCATTTTCCTACTTAGCACTTGCGTACAGTTTTCCTCAGGACTTCCATGGACATTTCTGCGTCAGTGAAACACATAACTGGGCGACACCTGATGAGCCTTTTCCTTCCCACTGTTATGAGACAGAAATTCCACCAGGGATCCTAGCCGAATTCCACTTCTTTGTCCTTCCCTATTGTCCAGCAGCCAAGTAGGAGCAGGAAGTGGAAAGATGAGGGAAATGTGCTACCAGCACATCTCGCCAAAATGGTCTATCAGTCCTTCCCTATGTCCCTTTCACGCCTTGCCACTGTCCCAGATGTTATTTATCCCTGTGATCATTGGGTTCCCTAGGTGTCCCATGCAGACTTGGTGGAGCAGAGGACACGTGGATTTTCTTCAGAGCAGAAACACCTGAGGGCACAGTGGAGAGGCTGCAGTGGCCTGGGTCTCCTCAGCCTGTGAGCAGAGCAGCACAGAGGAGTCCCTGGCAGAGCAGGAGTGAATGAATTTGCACTGTACAGCTGCTTTCTAGATCCCAGTGCTCTCACTGCCTGAATCCCAGCGGCAGCCTCCAGACCCCACTGGAGGACAAGCTCAGTCCTGCCAGGAAAGCAAATCTCCTTGGAGAGGCCAATCCTCAGGGCAGAGGGGGCAATGACACAGATGCTCTCTGTCATTCCCCAGGGCTCCCAGCCAGCCAATGCCTTCTCTCACTTCTTGGCCAGCCCCACCCCGAGATGTCTCACACTCACCCACTGCTCCCTCTCCACATATCTTTGGACAGCTACAAGAGGCAGGTTGCTGAGAGGTTAGGGGCATTTCCCTCCATGGTTCCCTGCTGGTTCTTTGTGGCCATGCTGACCCCTCTGGGTAAGTGAACTCAACACTGCCCTGAGAACCTCCACTGATCCCGCTGCTGCTCTCCCAGCTGTGTAGCCTGTTCCTGCTTCTGCTTCCTTCTGCAGAGCTTTCTGCATTGAGGCTAAGCAGTGAATGTGTTGGACAGGAATCCCTGAATCTTCTGCAATGGATGTTTATTTGTCATTCTTTGTGCAGTCCGTAGATGATTCCTGGTTTTGGACTCAAACTGCCCAGGAATGCATATTGCCTATTGAGGAAAGATTGGAAATTCACCTGCTGATCTTTAAGATCTGTGCCATGCCTTGAACTGCTCTCCTGGCTACCCTAATTCTACTCACTCTTTCCCGACCAACCCACAGTGTCTTGTTCAAATTTTTCTCATTTTTTTTCCTTCTCCTTACTGTTTCTACTTTTCCTTTCCAGTGTTAGCCCTGGAACAATCTCCAGATTTGGTGATAAAAGAAGGCCAGTCCGTGAATATGCAATGTTCAAAGATGCAATCCTCCAGCACAGCTATGTACTGGTTTGTGCGGCATTCAAAGAAGAATTCCAGTCTGACCCTACTGGCTTCTGCAATAGAAGGTGGTAATGCAGCAGTGGAGAAGGGTTTTGAGAGCCATTTCAAGAGCAGCAAGATAAAAGGAGACAGTATCACCCTCTCAATAGAACATGCCTTTCTCAATGACTCTGGCACATACTACTGTGCTGAGAGTGGTCACAGTGGTGAGACTGCCGAGGGAGCTGAGCACAAACTTCTCCCTGCACATACAGGACCTGCTTTCCCCCTTGTGGGTTCTGCAGGAGGCTTCTCACTCATTAGCTGCTGTGCTTCCTAGCCTTGCCTTCCTCCTCTTCTCCGATGTTGATAGTTTGTATGTCCATTTTTTCCCCCTTGCCACTCCAGTCCTTCCTCTGCATTTAAGTCTTACTTGAACTACACTTGATTCTGTCAGCCCTTCTTCTCCTCTCTGTCTCCCTTCCCTTACCCACCCTCATAGTTCTGTCTTCAATCTGCACTCCACTACCTTCATCCCAATATCTTTGCTTTTTTCTCCCACTTCTTTAGAGGAATCTGGGGTCTTCCCTGAATCTTTCTTGTCAGCTTAGGGAAATGATTGCAATGGGACACACTCAGAGCTACAGCAGAGGGTTTGGGAGGATCTGGAGGCATTGCTGCTCTCCTCCGCTGACAGGACACAGGGGAACATCTTCACTGCAAAGCCCAGGACAGCCTTGAGCAGTCTCCTCACTTGATTTCCTGTATGGGCCAGGCTCACACTGCCGTGCACACAGCACAGCACGGATGGGCAGAGCCTCTGTCACGCCTCTGTACCCAAACTCAGTGCACACAAACTACGAGTGTCTCTTCCTGCCTTCAGAGGTGTCTCACTGCCTTGGTCAGGTGAACAAGGCTCTGTGCAGAGAAGAGGACATGGTTTTCTCCAGCTCTGCCCATTTGTGTCCTGCTGCTCTCTTGCAGAGTGCTGCAATAAAGAGGCAAGGAGAATATTCATTCTTCTCTGGCATGGAGAAGGTCAGTGTGTAGCAGCATATCCTGAGGGGCACAGCCTTCTCCTCAGAAATCTTTCTGAGGTGCAGTCTCTCAAGGGACAGTCCCAGTACAGAAGCAAAGACAGCCTGTTCTCCCCTTGAGATCCCCCTCTGGAGTCAGAGAAGACCAGGTTCAGGACTATTCTCTGCCAGGCTCCAAGAGACTCATGCTTGGCAGGTCAGCAGCTCTTCCCATACCTGGGTATCACATCAGGCCTGACTGGAGTAAGCAGTGATTCCACATTGCAGCTTGCTGGGCTGGGAGTCTGTGAGTGTGAGGTTGGCTTGGCAGGAGACAAACAGAGGGACACAGACACAAACATGCGTTCCTAAGATCTCCTGCACTTCCCATCAATTTCTGCCATTTTGTGCATTCCTGTGCACATACTCAGGCTGCCACACAGCCCTATCCTGCTCTGTGATAGCTCTGAACCATGCTACCTACTGAAGTCCCAGCTACTCCTGCACAGCCACGTTCACACACAGCAGGGAGCCAGAGGAGCAGAGTACAAGCACCTCATGACTGCCTGCAGGTGTCATTGCCCACCGTTCCTGGACAGCCAACAGCCTTGTGACATTTCAGACTCCCGCTCACTCCCCTGCCCACCCACAGAGAGACGGATCTCGTCCTCTCCACTTCTCCTCTTTACACACCTCTGTGTCTGTGCTGTCACCAGGGGCAGGTGGCTGGCAGGAAGGGATTTTCTCTATGGATTTCCAGTGGTTCCTTGTGGCCATGCTGCTCCCTGTGGGTAAGTGGGTTTCCCTTCCTCTTCAGCAGCTGCACTGGAGCTGCTGCTGCTGCATCCTCAGCTGTGCTCCCCGTTGCTGGCAGTGCCCCTTTACCAAGGGTTCCAGGGGGGAAGGTGGGCAATGAACCAGGTGAGCCTTTCCACCACCTATTGAATCAGGAAACTCTGGAAGACTGAAAATTTGTCTTTTCCTGCCCCTTTTTAATACCTTGCTTAAGAGTACCAAAGTCATTTCATCTCAAAACATATTGACTGTTGCATTTGAAGCTGGTTTGTTTGGGTTTTTTTCTTATATCTTTTTTCAGAGAAGCAGGGCACTGTCCCCTAGCTTTCTGATATGCTGGTGGCATTCTGTTCATACAAGGATGTATATTTTTGTCTTCTTCAATGCATTTCACTTCCCACCTTTCATCTCCTGTCTTTCCAGGCTGGGCCCTTCAGCAATCACCAGATACAATCGTCCGGGTGGGAGACACCGTGACTCTGGTATGTTCTGCATCAGGGAAAGATTTTGTAAACATGTACTGGTACAAGCTACCCATGGAGAAGGATGCCAGTATGCAGTTGGTTGTATATTCATTGGAAGGTGGCAAAGCAGATATTGAGAAGGAATTCAAAAATCGCTTCCAGAGCAGTGGGACTAGGAACAACCATTTATCTGTGAAGATACAGCCTGCCCTCCTCAATGACACAGGCACATATTTCTGTGCTGAAAGAGATTCACAGTGACTCAAAGGCAGGTGCAGCATAGCACAAAGGATTGCAGGCAAACAGGGATCTGCCACCAGCACACCCTGTGTTCGACAGAACCCCATTTTCCTACCTGTCCTCCAGCTCTTTAAGAGAAACATGGTATGACTGTCTGCCCATCTGTCTGTCCATCTGTCTGTCCTTTGCATGGTCTCTAGCTGCTTTTCTGATATTTCCCATCTCTGAATCACTTTCTGACTCTGCTTTTTTGTTGTCCTTACTGTCACACCTCATTTTTCTGCCATTCACAAACTGCTTCTCACTTTCCTCTTCTCATGTATTTATGTCTGCCCCTTGACTATCCTCTCTGTCCTCTCATACCTGGTCCCTTCCCATTTCCTCGTTCCTTCCTCATGAATCTCTTGTTCCTTACAACCTCTTCCATCCATTGATGTCCTGGGAAGCAGGAGGTGGAATAATTCACACAGGGCTTTTCCACTCCACCAGCTGGAAAGACAAGGCCCACTTGTCCTTAGCCCCTTGTGGTCTCCATGGAATTGGCACACTGCCCAAGTTACTCCACTACCCTGTCACCAGAACACTCTGATGTTTGAGAATTGTCCCTGCCCACAGCAGGAGACTGCCCAGGTTAGCCATGGAATGTCCCTGCTGACCAGGACAAGGACCAGGAGGAAGAAGTCCGAGTGGAGTTTTCAGCTGGGGTTGTTGGTATTTTCAAGCCTCTTGTCTGGCCCATCCACCACATCTCCTGCTGCTTGCTGAAAGTCACGAGGGCTGCCCTGACTTGTTTATTCATCTTTATCTACAGTTTAAAACAGATTTCAAAGGCCCAGGAGAATCCTCACCTAAATTCTCATAATCCATCCATCCACAACAAAAGCTGGAAATTCCTTACTGGAGTGTGAAGCACAGGCTTGGTCAGGGGAGCTGCAGCTCATGCCATAGCTGTGGGGACACAGAGATGCTTTCTGGTCCTCTGTCGCAGTCTTGTACTTTAAGCCCAGTCAGCAACTGGGTGTCACAGACAGTCACTCACAAGCCCGTTCCCCTGGTGGGATGGGAAAAAGGGTAGAACTTACAGGTTGAGATCCAAACAGAGCAAGAACAGGAGTAAATCAAAAGGAAAAGAGAGAGAAATAAAACTCAGGGAAATCCATGGGATGCGCAATACTCACCACCCACTGACCGAGTGCCTAGCCTGTCCCTGAGCAGTGACAGGCAACACCTGGCCAGCTCCCCTCAGTTTCCATAGTAAGTATCATATTGAATGGGAGGAAATATCCTTTTAGCCAGCCTGGGTCTGGTGTTCTGGAAATGTGCACTTGTTCCATGGCAAAGCATGAGACACTGTAATTTCCTGAATTTGCAGTAAGCAGTGCTTAAATACAACTAAAACTCTGTTATCACCATTATTCTCATAGCAAATTCAGAACACATCACAGTGCCACCGACTCCACCTGCTTATCCTGTCTCCTGTTTAGCATTTGCATACAGTTTTCCTCAGAACTTCCTGGAAAATTTTCCCATCAGTGAAACATTGAATTGGGTTGCACCCCATGAGCCTTTTCTTTTTCACCGTTATGAGACAGAAATTCCACCAGGGATCCTAGCCCAATTCGACTTCTTTGTCTTCCATACTGTCAGGCAGAGCTCTAGGCACACAAAGAAGGATGAGGGAAATGTGCTCCCAGCACACCTTGGCAGGAAGGTCTATCAGTCCTTTCCTATGTCACTTTTGCCCCTTGCCACTGTCCCAGATGTTATTTATCCCTGTGATCATTGGGTTCCCCAGATATCCCATGTAGACTTGGTGGAGCAGAGCACATGTGGATTTTCTTCAGAGCAGAAACACCTGAGGGCACAGTGGAGAGGCTGCAGTGGCCTGGGTCTCCTCAGCCTGTGAGCAGAGCAGCACAGAGGAGTCCCTGGCAGAGCAGAAGTGAATGAATTTGCACTGTACAGCTGCTTTCTAGACCCCAGTGCTCTCACTGCCTGAATCCCAGCGGCAGCCTCCAGACCCCACTGGAGGACAAGCTCAGTCCTGCCAGGAAAGCAAATCTCCTTGGAGAGGCCAATCCTCAGGGCAGAGGGGGCAATGACACAGATGCTCTCTGTCATTCCCCAGGGCTCCCAGCCAGCCAATGCCTTCTCTCACTTCTTGGCCAGCCCCACCCCGAGATGTCTCACACTCACCCACTGCTCCCTCTCCACATATCTTTGGGCAGCTACAAGAGGCAGGTTGCTGAGAGGGTAGGGGCATTTCCTTGCATGGTTTCCTGCTGGTTCTTTGTGGCCATGCTGGCCCCTCTGGGTAAGTGAACTCAACACTGCCCTGAGCACCTCCACTGATCCCGCTGCTGCTCTCCCAGCTGTGTAGCCTGTTCCTGCTTCTGCTTCCTTCTGCAGAGCTTTCTGCATTGAGGCTAAGCAGTGAATGTGTTGGGCAGGAATCCCTGAATCTTCTGCAATGGCTGTCAATTTGTAATTGTTTCTGCAGCCCATAGATGGTTCCTGGTTTTGAACTCAAACTGCCCAGGAATACATCTTGCCTATTGAGGAAAGATTGGAAATTCACCTGCTGATCTGTAAGAGCTGTCCCATGCCTTGAACTGCTCCCTTGGCTGCTCTATTTCAACTAACAATCCACAGTGTCTCATTCAAATGTTTCCCTTTTCCTCCTTCTCCTCACTGCTCCTACTTTTCCTTTCCAGTGTTAGCCCTGGAACAGTCTCCAGACATGGTGATAAAAGAAGGCCAGTCCGTGAATCTGGAATGTTCCAAGAAGAAAACTTCCAACAGAGCTATGTACTGGTTTGTGCGGCATTCCGAGAAGAATTCCAGTCTGACCCAGTTGGTTTATGCATTCGAAGGTGGTAACCCAGCAGTGGAGAAGGGTTTTGAGAGCCATTTCAAGAGCAGCAAGATAAAAGGAGACAGTATCACCCTCTCAATAGAACATGCCTTTCTCAATGACTCTGGCACATACTACTGTGCTGAGAGTGATCACAGTGGTGAGACTGCTGAGGGAGCTGAGCACAAACTTCTCCCTGCACATACAGGACCTGCTTTCCACCTTGTGGGTGCTGCAGAAGGCTTCTCACTCATAAGCTGCTGTGCTTCCTAGCCTTGCCTTCCTTCTCTTCTCAGATGCTGATTGTTTGTATGTCCATTTTTTCCCCCTTGCCACTCCAGTCCTTCCTCTGCATTTAAGTCTTACTTGCACTACACTTGATTCTGTCAGCCCTTCTTCTCCTCTCTGTCTCCTTTCCTTTCCCCATCTTCTTCTTTCTGTCTTCAATCTGCACTCTGTTGACATTCTTTTACTTAACTCCAGTCAATCCTGCATGTAATTCTCACTGTCAGAAAAGAACAAGTGCTTGTGTGGGAAGTTTTTGGTGCACCTGTAGATAAAGGCAAGGCCTGGCAGGTGTGGAAGTAGCCAGTACCATGTGGGAGCTGCAACACACACTTCTCTGTTACAACGACACGTCTGTGGTTGTTCTGTGGCCAATTAATATGAACAGCAGAGCACAAGCCTGTGCTTACTCAGGAAAAGGATTATGTGAATCCATAACTCTCCCATGTAGAGTGGTGTCTGGGGCAGGATCCACCTGCCTTCCAGCCCTTGATCCACATTCAGTTTATCTTTGCCAAAATAATTCTAAAAATTACAGGTTATGTTAGCAAACTGTGCAGCTAATAGAGCTTTCCCACAGGTTAGCGTGTTCTACATATCAGCGACTCAGATGAAGGGGTAGAGACTCTCCTAATGAAGTTCTCTGATAACATCAGGTTAGGAGGTGTTGCTGATACCTGAGTGGGCTGTGCAGCCCTTCAGATTGGCCTTGACAGGTTGGAGAGATGGCAGAGAAGAACCTTCTGAAATTGAGCAAAAGAAAATGCAGGACACTACGTGTGTGGAAAAATACCCCCATATCCCAGCACAGGCTCGGTGCTAACCTGCTGGGAAGTAGCGCTTCAGAAAAGGATCTGGGACCCTGGTGGACAAGAAGCTTTCCATGAGCCATCAAGGTGCCCTGTTGGCCAAGAAGCCAGTGGTGTCCTGGGATGCATTAGGACGAGCATTGCCAGCAGGGTGAGGGAGGTCATCCTGCCACTCCATTCAGCTCTGGTGAGGGAAATCTTCGGTGTTGTGTCAATTTCTGGGCTTCTTGGTACAAAAGAGACATGGATGTCCTGGAGAATGTCCAGGACAGGTGATAAAAGATGATTAGTAGAGTGGAGCACCTCTTTAGTGTATAGAGACTAAGGGACCTGGGCCTGTTTTGCCTTGAAAATAAAGAACTAAATAGCCACATCGTCGATGTCTACAAGTATCTGGAGGGAGGGTTCCAAGAGGTGGAACCAGGTTCTTCACCTTGATGCCCAACACTAGGTCAGGAGGCAATGGGCAGAAAATGAAGCACAGGAAGTTCCACCTGAATCTAAGGTCAGAGCTTTGCAATGTGAGTGACTGTGCACTGGAGCAGATTGCACAAAGAAGTTGCGGAGTCTCTTTCCCTGGAGATATCCAAGAACCATCTGGATACAATCGTGTGTCGTGTGCTCTGGGATGACTCTGCTTGAGCAAGGAGGTTGGAGCAGTGACCACCTGAGGTCCCTTCTTAGCTGGCCCATCCCGTGATTCTGTCCTGCATAACACAAACCTGTGCACAGCACAGGCCTGCATGGGACACTCCAGGTGGTTCTTACCCTTCAGATTCCATGCTAATGTCCAAGCTTCCCAGGACCTAAACAGAGGGCCCCACATGGCAGCCATGCCTGTTCAACATCACTAACTCCCTCAAATATAGTGACTTCCTCAAGGCTCCCTCTGCCCTGCTCTCTGCACACCCCAAGCCATTGGGGATGCTTTGCATGGACACATCAGGCACAGCCTCCTTTCCGCTGGAGTGCTGCTGGTGGTCTGAGGATTTGGGGATTCTACAAAGTAGCCTAATCTGTTTGCTATTTTCTCCCCCTTCTTTAGAGGAATATGGAGTCTTCCCTGAATCTTTCTAGGCAGTGTAGGTAAATGATTGCAATGGGACACACTCAGAGCTGCAGCAGAGGTCTTGGGAGGATCTGGAGGCATTGCTGCTCTCCTCTGCTGACAGGACACAGGGAACATCTTCACTGCAAAGCCCAGGACAGCCTTGAGCAGTCACATCACTTGATGTCCTGTATGGGCCAGCCTCATACTGCCGTGCACACAGCACAGCATGGATGGGCAGAGTCTGTCACACCTCAGTACCCAAACTCAGTACACACAAACTACGAGTGTCTCCTCCTGCCTTCAGGGATGTCCCACTGCCTTGGGTAGCTGAGCAGGGCAGTGCAGAGAAGAGGACATGGTTTTCTCCAGCTTTGTCCATTTGTGTCCTGGTGCTCTTTTGCAGAGTGCTGCAGAAAAGAGGCAAGGAGAATATCCATTCTTCTCTGGCATGGAGAAGGTCAGTGTGTAGCAGCACACAGCTCTGAACCATGCTACCTACTGAAGTCCCAGCTACTCCTGCACAGCCACGTTCACACACAGCAGGCAGCCAGAGGAGCAGAGTACAAGCACCTCATGACTGCCTGCAGGTGTCATTGCCCACCGTTCCTGGACAGCCAACAGCCTTGTGACATTTCAGACTCCCGCTCACTCCCCTGCCCACCCACAGAGAGACGGATCTCTTCCTCTTCACCTCTCCTCTTTACACATCTCTGTGTCTGTGCTGTCACCAGGGGCAGGTGGCTGGAAGGAGGGGACCTTTCCCTATGGATTTCCAGTGGTTCCTTGTGGCCATGCTGCTCCCTGTGGGTAAGTGGGCTTCCCTTCCTCTTGAGTAGCTGCACTGGAGCTGCTGCTGCTGCATCCTCAGCTGTGCTCCAAGTTGCTGGCAGTGCCTCTTTCCCATAGCTCCTGGGGGGGTTGGACAGTAAACCAGGTGAGCCTTTCCACCACCTATTGAATCATGAAACTTTGCAAAGCTGCAAATTTGTTTTTTCCTGCCCCTTTTTAATACTTTACTTGAGAGTCCCAAAGTCATTATTTCTCTTAACAGATTTACTAGTGCATTTGAAGCTGGATTGTTGGTGGTTTTTGATCCTGTATGTCTTTTTCAGAGATGATCCTGTGTTCTTTTTTCAGAGGGCACTCTCCTTTTAGCTTTCTGATATCCTGGTGGCATTCCATCCCATGGCATTCATCAAGGATGTATATTTTTGTCTTCTTCAATGCATTTCACTTTCCACCTTTCATGTCCTTTCCTTCCAGGCTGGGCCCTTCAGCAATCACCAGATACAATCGTCCGGGTGGGAGACACCGTGACTCTGGAATGTTCTGGATTGGGGAATGCGGTCAAGACCATGTACTGGTACAAGTTACCCATGGAGAAGGATGCCAGTATGCAATTGGTTGTATATTCATTGGAAGGTGGCAAAGCAGATATTGAGAAGGAATTCAAAAATCGCTTCCAGAGCAGTGGGACTAGGAACAACCATTTATCTGTGAAGATACAGCCTGCCCTCCTCAATGACACAGGCACATATTTCTGTGCTGAACAAGATCCACAGTGACTCAAAGGCAGGTGTAGCACAGCACAAAGGTTTCCAGGCAAACAGGGATCTGCCACCAGCACACCCTGAACCCTGTGTTTGACAGAACCCCATTTTCTTACCTGCCATCCCGCTCTTCAGGAAAGACAGTGTATGTCTGTCTGTCCATCTGTCTGTCTTTTGCATGGTCTCTAGCTGCTTGTCCATCCTTTCCCATCTCTGAATCACCTTCTGACTCTGATTTCTTCTTGTCCTCACTGACTCACCTCATTTCTCTGCCATTCACAGACTGCTTCTCACTTTCCTCCTTCCACATCTTTCTGTCTGCCCCCCTGACTTTTCCCTTCTGTCCTCTTCTATTAATTTCCTATTATTCCCTATTCCATTCCCCATCCATCTCTCCTTATTTTCTTTCTGTTGTGTCAACTCATGGCTTGGGAAGCAGGGTGTGGAATAGTTCACACATCCCTTTTCTTCTCTGCATGCTGGAAAGACAAGGCCCGCTGGTCCTTGGTCCACTGGTCTGAAATGGAAATGGGCACACAGCTGTGCACCTGGGACCCTAAGTTACCACCAATATTCTGTAACCTGAACACTCCAATATTTATGACCTAACCCAATCTTGACTGTATTCAGACACTGTAGGCAAAAAGCCCCAGGCAGCAGCAGATACTCATGGCTACCATCACTCTGAGCCTTTCTTCCTGCACTCCTGCTACTTTAATTTCCTGTCTTCCTTTCAGTGTTTGTCTTTTTTTAGATTTTTGCGTTTTTATCTTTCTTCCTTCTCTCCTGATTTCTTCCTTGCCTTCCTCACTTTCTGGCTTGTGTTCCCGCTTCCCTCCCAGCTCTAAGTCTTTTCTTCCTGCAGCTTTTCTGCCTTCTCTCCTCACTTCCCACCCTCCTCTCTCCTGACCTTCTTTTCTTCTTGGGATTTGGGACACTACAGCCTCATTCTGGGACTATGCAAGCAAAAACCATGACATCCTAATCAGCCTTCGGGCAAGTTCTGACACTTCAACATGGCAGATCCAAAGTCTCTACTGCAATGCCCTGCCTGCTACTGACCTCCTGGCCCTCACCACCGTCATCCCTCTTCTGTTCCTCAGGCAGTGATATAAGCTGTCTCAAAGAAAGGATGACATGCTGCAGCTGCTAGTGATTCTAGAGGAAATGGGATAGGCAGTGTTTGAGGATGAATTTCAGAATCACTTCTAGAACTATTGAAAAATGAGCTATTATTTTTCCTGTTCAAAAAGAACAGAAATTATGTTCAGCTTCAGAAACAAGAGCACGTAACTGATTGAAAGACTCTTGATGATGAGCCTACAAAGTGTTCCAAGACCCTGCCAATTGAGAGGCACTACAAATAATAAGTATTTTCCCCTGAGAGATGTTCACTGCCACAGTGTTCCATATAACAGCCTTTGGAAGTTCCCAGAGAAACAGTGCAAAAAGTAGGAGTGCCTGAAAGTCTTTATTAATTTTTCATAATTTCTGCTTGTCCAGACACAAAATAACAGAAATGATGATGAGAAAATACAGGTCACACCAAACAAGCATCTCAGTGGGAGGCAATGGTGGACTGGATCCAGGAGACGTAGTTGCAAACCTTGGTGTAAACTCCAGGGTAGCCCTCCTGGGCACATCCTAAACCCCAGGAGACAATACCCTGGAGCTCTCCGTTGCAGACCACAGGACCGCCGGAATCTCCCTGTGCACACAAAGGATATGGATATTCAGCAAATGGCATCAGCCTAAGCAATGAGGCAGAGATCCCTGAGATCACTGACTCTGCAGGAAGCCCCTCCTGGCGTACTCTGCACAAAAGTTCTCCAAAGGCTGTTCCTCATTCACACTCTCCACCTGATGCTACCATGTCTGACTTGAGCTCCAAGGGCACCACAGCTAAGGATGAGTCAGCTGCCTGTTTTTGCCAGATGTGGTACATGGCAAACCTCCAGGATATGTGTGCCTGAAGCCTCTGCTGTCATTCACAACCTCAGATTTACCAGTGCAGTGAGTATAGCTGACTCTGTAGTGTGAAGACCTCTTCAGCTGGGAAGAGGCAGGAGGGAAATGACTGGGAAAGGAGAGGCAGATGATTTACCTGGCAGGAGTCTTTTCCTCCCTCCATGAATCCTACACACATCATGTTGTTGGTAATTTCCCCAGGGTAGGCATCAGAGCACTCAGCAGCAGAGAGGACTGGAGCATTCAGGCACTGCAATTGGTCCGGGTAGTTGGCTGCAAAGAAATAGGCAAAGATGGTTGATGGCATTGCTGAACCTTTTTCAGAGCTCAGAGATCTTAGCAGAAAAGCAAATGCTGGACACCCTGTCCTAGCAGCCATCCTGCTTCCTGTCAACAGTCAGTACAGCATGAGTCCCTTCTGTAGAGATGGAACAAATTCTACCCATGGGCCCACCATTCTACACTGCAGGCACCTTAACTTTTCTGGTACCTAGAAGTTCATCAATTGGCAAGAAAGGGGTCACTCTTGTGATATATACACTGGAAGAAACCTGAGCCTCAGGAAAACCATCCTCTCCCCTGGTGCAGGTTTAGATGTCATCAGTGGAATAGACACCACTCACCATGCACACCTCTGACCATAGGTGTGAGAGAACAGAGATCTCTAGTAGGAATTCTAGATCCTTAGTCTAGACTTCACCCTTATTCTCAGAGAATTGACAACTCTGTTGACATTAGCTGAATCCGCTGTGCAGTCCCTACACTGTTGCATCACTCAAAAAACCTGTCCCACAGCATTTCCCTGTGTTGTAGCCTGTCCTGTTGGGTGTTAATGGCCAGGTCATAGAGACTGTCCTGGGCCCCAAGGGTCTGTACGTTCCCCCAGAGTACTCACAGCCACTGCTGAGAGTGTTGCCCCAGCCAGAGATCAGGCAGGTGGTGCCGGTGGCCACGCATCTGGTAGGCAGAGGAATGGTTTGGACAGCTTTGTTGAGCGTGGCTGGGGTGGCCAGCTTGATGAGCATGATGTCATTGTCCAGGGTGTAGGGGCTGTAGCCAGAGTGGCGGATGACTTTAGCAGAGTTGATCAACTGCTGCGTGGATTCGGTGGTTTCCAGGTTGTGTTTCCCGAGCTGCACTTGGATGCGACTGGAAAACAGAAGGCACAGCGTGCCCTTTACTGCTACGGCAGCTTGAGAGAAACCCCCTGTCACGGAGAGCCATTGGTCCAACATCACTGCCACAGAAGCCTTCTGGGGCAGGGGATCTTTCTTGTCCTGCAGGGAGCCCTGGGGATCCACACTGAGATCTTAACCCACTCCAAGCATGGGTGGTGAATTTCTGCAGGTTTATAAATACATGACAGCAGCTGAATACAGAGCATCACTAGGTACAGATCTTCTGGGACAAAGTAAACAGCTCCAGCCTGACCTCGATCCTCTTCCTGCTCTCCAGGGAGAATTCCTTAGCAAGATTCATGCATGTGATAAGAAATCACAGCCCAGAATTCTCTGCTTGATTATCCCGTTGTTATTTCAGAAAATGCTCTGCCTTCACAGGAACATTTGCAGAATGGAAAACCTCTCAGGATGCCTTGGTCTGGCTTCCTGAATGATCCACCCATCCCATGGCTGTCTCCAGTAAGTATGGAGGCACTTACATATTTCTGTCTCATAGCTCAGAATTCCTGCTAGAGGTGAACTGGAAGACAGCAGTAGGTTAGAGAAGGATGTAATTTTTCCACTCACGATTTGTAGCAGTGAGCGGCTGACACGACCCACTGGCTGCTGATGAGGGAACCTCCACAGAAGTGATATCCAGAATTCAGGGACACTTGATAGGGCACAGCGTTCTTTCCACAGGTGTAGCCTCCCACAATCTTGTCATCGTCATCTTCAGCAAAGGTGGGGAAGGCAACTGGGGGACAAGAAGTGCCATGTGTCAACAGCTGGCCTAAGGTAATGTGGCCTGTAATCTGCCCTGTGACTGCCTTGTAGGCTCCCCTTCTATGGACACTCAGGGCAGCGCTGGTGGGCAGCTCTAAGGCACAGGCATTTGCTGCACCCTCAAAGAAGGGGATCAGACTTACACTGGTGCCTCACGTATCTGCAAGTAAAGCCCTGCTGGCTGCTCCCTGAGGGAACACAGGGAAACAGAAATGTTCTTGTTGGATGGGATCACAGGTGTGTCTTTCCCTGGATCCCATCAACTGAAACAGTCAAGGGTTGACTGAGGGAAAAAGTAAAAACAAGTGTGCAGTGATATTTTCTTGGAGCACCCACTGAGGGTCCAAAATTTTGCAGTTGCTTTAGAACTTCCTGGGCCAGAACTATTCCCTGTGCACTCCACAGTCCTGAAGAAGCAGGCAGCCTTTTTCTGAAGCTGTGGCCACATCTGCATAGCTAGGTCAGGAACCCCTATGAAGCATTCATTCCCCAGCTTGTGGCACAGGGCATTATGAACAGACAGGAGATGGAAGGTGCAGGAGTCTGACTTATGCAAGTTAAAACTGGACTTGGCTTTCCCACAATAGACTACCTTGCATTTTTGCTCAGAAAAAGAGCTTCCTATTAAATGAAAGAAATAAAAATTAAAAATATACTCACCAGCCACCCCAATAAAGGCGAGAAGCAGCAGGCACTTCATGGTCTTGATTCGACCTCAAACCCAGACTGGTTGACTGGACTTGGGAGCTGCTAGAAATATGTTCTTGGTGGTGGTCTTATCTCTAGTCCAAGATTTTTTCCAGACAAAAGTTACATAGTGGAAAATTTGAAGATCCAAATGTGGGCATTATCAAGTATTGGTAGAATGTACAAATAACACACCTGTTAATCATAAACCTCTGCTAAGATAGCAAGCTATTTTAGTCATTCTGTAAGGTAGCCTTCAATCTAAAAATACCTTTTGGCTTTGGATGATGTGTAGTTGTTTGTCTGTCTCATTCTTATACACAGCACCTGTATAACAGGAATAACAACTCTCAAACCTCTTTCAGATTCCTCTGTGTTGATGGTATCTTTCTTAAAATTGCACATTTTTACCCAAAGTTGAATATTTTAGGTAGTGGACAGAAAGTTACATTGCATTTATTTGGGGAAAAAACCCGAAACTCCACCAAACCCAGTGGTTAACTTTGTTCAGTTTATTTTAGCAAATTTTTTGTCTTGAATAATGTGTGGTTTTATCATATGCAACACAGTGTTTTCCTTAATAAAATTCCTCCACTTTAATTTCAAAAGGGAGGATATAAAAACAATCCTGTGCCCCCTACTGCTTCCCAAGTTCAATAGTTCAAATGTGGGAATGCTCAGCATCTCCCTTTTCAAATTTCTCTCTGCTAACCTGTATTTAAATGTCTGCCTAAGTACCAAACCATGCTTTTATGCATCTTTGGAATCGTCTACAGACTGACTTTTGCCACACAAGAATTTCACTACAATGCTGATGTTCATGAGTGTAATGTAGATGAGCAATAATCCTGTGAACACAAATTGTGAGATCTTCTGAAATCCCTCTCTGCAGGAGTGGGGATTTCTGTCATGATGCAAAGTTTACTAAAGCTTAATGCTTTGCTGAATAATCGTGTTCATTTTCCAAGCAGCTGCCAGCTTTGTTGTGTTAGCTCCTAAAAGACACAGGATTCTCTCCAGAGACATTAAAGAGAAGCCATATGCTTGGAGATGCTGGAATAGCTTGAGAGACTAAATAGGAATACTCTTCCTCTCCATTTCTCGGTTAATGTTTTTATGGACCCTGGAGGACGGATACACACTGTATCACTGTCCAGAGGGAAATGTTCCTCCATGTTGAAGTATAAGTCCAAGACCAGGGACTTCTCCAAGGTGGTGCATGAATTCTGTTGGCCTTTAAACTGGTATTAATGCACAGCTTTCTTACAAGCATGTTGTATCCTGTGAAAGAAATTATTAGAAGCTTCCTGTGGGAAAGGAAAATGTCCATAATAGGACAAAGAGTGTCAAAAATTACCAAAGCTGTCCAATCCCATCACAACTAAGTGGAGCAAGAAAAATTCCCAGTATACTATAGTGTTTCCTTTGATCTGTGTATTTCTGTTTTCTTTGTCCAAAACATGCCATTGGCATAGAACCAGACCCATGTTTTAGAACAATATTTTTCCTGATCCTTAGCTTTCGTATCCTGTAAGGTAGCACTTAGGCTACAACTGCTTACCTTTCTTTCATGGAATTTTCCATTCGGTTTATTATCATACAAATTTTAGGTGAATTAGCAAGTGAGCATTTGAATCAGGAAGCTTACCCATACCTGCCTTTATCTTGGCACTTTTGATTGTTTTTCTTTGTTACTTTTTTAATCTTCTCTGATCTTTAACATATAAATTATTCTTAACAGCAGGAAGTGCATCATACAGGGTTGGCTGATAATCCCCAAGAAGAACATTGCTGTGGCTACCTGGAGCCCAGGCTAAATCTTAGAACTCTGATGCCACACCAGGAGTGGGGAACTGCCTCAGTATGGGGATTTACAAAAGGCAGAACCTTTAGAGCCACTTGCTCTATGGGGCCAGACACAAGCCACGACAGGGACCAGGCAGAGGGGAATGGAGGAGGCTCTCCATCTTGAGGTTCCACAAGGAACGGTTAATGCCAACTAAAGAGATCAGAAACAAAGACCCTTGGGCACTCCTGTGCAAGGGGTTTTATACAGATACAAATCAGAGGCTACAAACAGGTAACTGACAGGGAATCCTCAGGGGAGGAGTGAGGGGATTACATCAAGTGCCTGGGGCCAGTTGGAGTAGGAGGGTGGAGAGGATGGGTCATATGGGCCAATGGGCCTTCCAGGAATAGGGGAATTGCAAAAGGGTGTTGCAGTCAGGGATTGGCCTGAGGTTAAAGTGGCAGAGGGTTCAGGAGCAAAAGGGGCTGGGTTGCCTTCACAGGCAGGGAAAGAGCTGGAACAAGGGGCGGGAAGTGGCATGAGGGACAGCTTTGAGGGAGGGTAAAACCCAGGGGTGAACCATCTTGGGGAGAACACGGGGGTACAACAGAACAAATTACTTAATAAGGAATCAATAAAATTAATTCGAACTGCAACAAAACATGATCTCTGAGGTTCCCTAAGCTACTTGCTTAAATCGGCAAGAGGAGACTCCTGACCTCTTCCTAGGCTACTGTTAAAGCTCACAGCCAAAGATCTGGATCACAGCTCCTGTGGCTCTTGTGTTCCTAAGTTTTTGATGGCAGGTATCTAGTGAACATACCTCACCCAAGCCCCTCTCATTCTCCTAAGAGCCTCTCTGACACCCCTTCTGGAGGCTCCCATAAAGTCCAGAACTCCATGGTGTTCTGCTCATGGGGAAAACTGATGTCAAATGAAGGTAAATGGTTTTCTGACGTACGATTCAGAGGTCATCCAGCGAGAAGACTCAGAGCAGCCCTTCAGGCCTTTCCATGAGAACTGTGGAGGATGAACAGACCCCTTTGAATTACAGCTGAAATTTGAACATCCTCTGATGACCCTCTTTTCTTTCTTTCTTTAGGAGAAGAAATCCCTGTCTGAAACATAAATAACTCCTTCTCAGTGGTGCTGAACATCCCACAAACCTATTGAAAGGCTTTTTATAATATCCTTCAAAGAATATACTCAAGGGTGTACATCCATTGCTGTAAACAAGTTTCTCATTTCATGCAGTAATGCTGCAGTAGAAAGCTGGTGGCTCCTGGGGGCACAGGAAGGGGGAGGACTGGTGACTGAAGGGTAGCTGTGTTAGATATTATCAATGGACAAGCAATGGCAGCTTGTTTTTCTGGAACTCCATGTTCCTAGTTCAAGTATTTTAGTCAGCTGTATCATCACAGGACTTAGATAAAGGAAATATATTTGTCCAGGCTGATGCAAGATCCTGGGAAATAGAAACCTGTTAAAACCATGGGCTGACAGAGGTAAAACTTCCCATGAGCATAAAACATGAAGTTTCTGAGCTTAGTCATTTTGCATCTCAGTCATGGGTTTGATCACTGTTCGAGCCATTCACTTAAAAGCTGGACTTGTGATCCTTGTGGGTCCCTTCCACCTCAGAATATTCTGTGATTCTCTGATCTCACAGAGCTTTGTGGTGGAGGAGCAATTGCTCCTCTATTCCCAAGTGTCTTCTGCCAGTGAAGTGTTCCTGGACAGGCACACCTAGGACTTGGAACATCAACGCCTCAGTTGCTGGGGCTCAGGAGAGTGTTTGGTGAAGGGCTATGAATCTTCTAGACTTTGCATCTGAAATCCATATTCAGTGACAGACTGCTGGCTTAAGATGTTCCTCTGCAGGAGTCTTCAATGGGGGGTGCAAGATGATGCACCAAGGTGTGAGGTGGAAGCATTAGAACTTCAGTGTTACACGTACCTAATTATCAGCTACTAAATGTACATATACTGGATGTATGTGTTTAAAAATACTTCCCTGATAGGGGTGTACAATTAAGAATTTTTGAAGAACACTCTTCTAGTACTGTCAAAAAATATTACAGATGGGGTTTCTTATATTTTGCTATAATATCCCGTGTCCAACAATGTCCAATTCTGCAGAGCCTTCATGTCCTCTCTGATTTCTTCATTACCTTGCAGCCATTCTGGTTTTTGTTAGGTTTTAGGGAGTTGAAGAAGGAAAGTTATGACTTGTTTCAGAGTGCCTGAACTCAGGAACTGGAAAGGGATTCTGGATGACTATGGCCAGAGGGAAAAAAAAGGTAAGAAAATAGTATGGTACTAGGAAGAAGGGTAGGAAAATCCTAATAACAGGGTTCCTACATCAAGCCAGATATGGCTATAAAGCCTCAGCCTTTGAGGTGTGTGGGACTCAGATTCAGTCAAAGAAAGAAACTGAGAGTTTCTAGCCAGGCAAAAGGCCTGGGAAAGAGCTGGGAAGGAATGTAAATATTTCTTTATCTCTCTTGTTCTCACACTGTTTATAGTTAAGTTCTATCACTGTGCGTCAAGCACTCTGAACCAATATTGTAGATTGTTTTCACTTTAGGACCAATAGATTTAACCTTTACGAAGCTCTATATAAAAGAACAGTGTATTTTGAATAAATCAGCGTTTTACTCTCACAGCCTTCTGAATCAGTCTTCTCATTCCTGTCCTGCCTCAACAACAACAGAGGTGGGAAACAGACTGTACCCCAATAATCTTCAGCAAATGGCTGGACCAGAAAGGAAGGGTCTTGAAAGGACACAGAAGAGGGGACATCAGATTTGAAAGTATTTATTTAATCCATCTCATCCAGCACATAATCTGCAAGAGAGCAGAAGAGGTGAAGAACCTTCCCTGGAAGGTCTGTGTATCCCAAGCCTATACAAACTGAGCAATTTTAACATCTCTAAATCTAGAAGCTGACTCTTTGCTATAAAAATATGTGATGGAGAGTTTGGGAAACAAAAACGAAGACAAAGAAGGACTGGGAAAAGTGTAAATGTAGTAATGTGGAAAGTCAGATGGTCTGAAAAGCTTGGGAAGAAGTTTAGAGGTGGTAGCCAGCAAGGCTGGCACGGAGAAATAGAATGGATGAGGAAAAGGAACTTTCATCAAATAAGCAGACAAGATGCTTCCATTAGAGATAGAATTTGACTGCACTGTTTGGGGGTGAGTGCTGTAAAGGAGCAACATGGGTCTGACTGGGCAAGGGATGACAAGCCTGAGGAGCAAGGATTCCTCTAAGAATTGTCTGCAAAGAACTGGCCCTGGAGGACCTGC